GCATTGATTTTTCCAATGCCTTGATTTCTTCAAAGTTCATAATTGAAGATCTCCAGAAGAAGAAACTTCACATAAGAGAAATCATGAGAAAATTAACAGTGATGTTATTTGGAACTCAGGAGTTTGAGTAAAACCTACAAGCCAAATTTGTTTAAGGCTAGTGAATGATGACCTCTGGCTCCAGTTTATCCGTTCTCGTAGGATTAAACGAGGCTTTCATTATTTCGACGAAATTTGTCATGTCAAAATTTTCCTTGATTAGAAATTGCATTTCTTGCATTTCTAGGCAAATCCCTGCCCATTTTTTGTGATATTAAAAAGTGCCAGCTAATTGTTGCTCATAGCATCTTGGAAAGGAAGTTTGGTTTTTTTTCGTACTCGATTAAATTTCATTCTAAGGAACATGAGGAGGAAGATTTTTACATATATCTTAGAGCAATTACATCACATTTGAATACCACGTTTAGGCTTTATCGATAAGGCTTCTTTCAACATTGATTATTTTTGTCCTTGATAGATGATGAATTTCGAATATCGCTTCCAGACATTATTGATTGAGACAAAAAAGAACGGCTTTCCTACTTCCGTAAAAAAAAACGCACCAGATGTTAGAGCTAACATGATCAAATGTATTTAATTGGAGAGATACGAAGTAAATCAATCTAAATCACTTCTTTCTGGAGATTATTAATACACCTGGTATTCAATACTTCCCATGTTTAAGTTCTGTAGCAAATAAAAGTTGAAAGTGATTTGCAATATGAATCTATTTATGATCGTCAGTATATATATATATATGCGTCCGTATCCGATACATTCCATATGGGCCAATCAGTAGCCGCAACAATTGATGACGCATCTTACTAGTAACAAATGTGTCTTATCAATTAATATCCGATGAAGCGTGCATAATTTGCATACATGAAATGTGTGCACTGTTATCTAAATGGAATATATTTCTAATGGATTTATATTTGCATAGATGATGTGTATCTGTATATTTATGAATACTAGTGAACTGCAAGTTCCTTGATGTAAAGTGGTCAGTAAAGGATGATCTACTGTTTGACCCTTACACCTTCACCTTCGTTAATTACACCTCATCACTGTAATGGAAGGCATTGTATACCACTACTACTACTTTCGAAGGAGTGCAGATATGAAATGAACAAGGCGTCAGTGATGAAATTTCATAGAATGGATCGATGTTTATGATTGCTGTTTTCCCACACACTTTTGGTATGGTTTCACCTCATGCAAAAAGTGCGCCTCAAATAGTGTGAACGATGAACATGTTGAATAGGCCTCCTCGAATACTGCAAGAATTTTTTGTGAGGAAAGGAGATGAGCAAGCGGGTAATTGCAAAAACTAGAAGGAAGCATAATGCTATAATTCCCACGCTATTTTTGAGATTTGTTGTAGATGAGAGGGGCCAGTTTTATGATGAAAAGTGAGGAAGAGAGGAAAGGCCGACCTGCCACTGCCCCGTGGCCCTTTCCGTTCGGTGCCATTATGCTCAGTTGAGCAATACATTGCAAACAATGGTTCAAAGCAAAAGATGATGAAAAAAAACAGGCTGTGGGAAAGACAGTCCAGAAGGAGGCATCATCTATCCAATGCAAAACTCATTTCGTATCGGACTTTCTCATTCCGAAAACCTTCAATCCCGATCTTTTCCCTTATTTCTACCGTAGCATGTTGCTGTTTCAAGTTTAGCTCATTCCTGTTTCTCATAATACAATTGTCTTTCAATCTTCCTTCTGCCTCTTAATGATGTTGCTAAAACAGAAATGCTGAAAGTTACCTTAAGTTTCAAATGGTAACAATAAGTTAGCTATATGGAATCAGCCAAACTATCAATTCATCAGGTGATCCAATACTTGATAAGTGAATAAGATTGCCATATGCAAAACATTCTACTTCATCCCGTTCATAAAGATTTTCTCCATTAAAGGGTTGATAAAAAGATCAAAAGAAGCACAAATAACTAAATTGTTGGATGGTTAGGTCAAAATTCCCATAGCCATTACCATTACTGAATAAAGAGCACACAAACCGTCTTCCTCTCATCCATTATAACTTTAAATGATGCCGTCCGTTGTACTGTTAGTTTTTACCAAAAATAATATCGAATCACCAGGGCACACTAGTAGTTCAACGAGGTGGTGGATGCAAACAGTGGTAGTAGGAATGGCATTAACATAACAAACGATCGCCACTAATTCGCAACGATGGGAAAATTGAGAATAGCTTTTGATAAAAAAATATTTTGGCGCGATCAGTATCGCTCTTTTTTCCATAAACCATTTCACTGATCCACCGTTCAACAATGATAAATAGCAAAAGGGTGCAGGAAAGGAAAGGAAAGAAGGAAAAAGTGTTCATATAACAGGTGACAAAAGTAACTTTGTCAGAAGCACTGTTCGCACAAACCTCAGATTTAATATTCTAATATCCACTTGATTGAATTTATTTTAGCTACTATAATCCTATCATTTCTGAGTTAGCGTTAGAATTGCATTACTGCATTTTCTTCTCTTATACTAGTTTTAAAAAATTGAAAATAAGAGGAACAGTAGTTTTTATGAGTTGCATGTGAGATGTTGTTTATAATTCATTAACTCAACTACTTCCATGATCGGAATGAATAACTGTCATTTCTAATCATACGTATCCGGTGTTTTGTTATCAAATTTTCACGGAAGTTTTTTCATGTTGTGTTTTGTGTTTTGTAGTAGAATTGACACGTTGATAGACGTGAATTAATACGTTGATAGACGTTTCTTCAAGTTAGTCTATTTCAAGCTACTCAAAATGTAAATTATTTCTCATTCAAAATTTGATTCTCATACTTATCCAAAGTCAGGTTTTTATTCGAGATCCTCAAAATCAGAAATGCCAGTTACAAATTATGATAAAGTGGAAATTCAGAATGACTTCATTTTAAAAAAGGAGGGGGGTTAAAAAGCGATCATCAATTTTTGAATAATTCATCTTGCACATGCATTATTTTACTCAAGCAAGTGATTCCTGTAAAAATTCCATATAGCATGATGACACACGACAATCAATGTGTGGTAAATTGCATGAGATATGAACACGCGTTGATTGCGTTGTCGTGGGAGGATATTATGTCGGTATTGCAATCGAAAGGGCCGTTGCTGTGTTGTTCCTTCTGTCTATGTAATTTTAATCGTATTATCCGCCATGCTAATCATGGGAACCAACATTTCACTCTGAGAAACTGCTGCCCTGCCTCATTCCCCTCCTTATTCATACATTTTAGAAACTGTACTGCAAAGCGGGCCCATTCATACATATCTTCTCCCTTCCACTTATTCATTTCCTATATTATATCCTTATTGGTTCATTTATCTTGTTTGCTTAGTGTTTATATACTTCTAACCATTGGAAGGAGCATCATCAGAAGTGTTGATGACCATCATTTGGTTATTTGATGACCAGTAGTCTATGTTTTCTATTATATACATGCTATGAGTGTAAATATATATAGATAGATATACCAATGGCTATTTAGGGGAGTATAAGTAATCGAAGAAAATCTGTCTTATCTAATATCTGAAAAGTATTGTAATTTCAAGAGGTGCACGAGAAAACAATTATTATATTTTTCTTAGCATTGTTTTCAAGAAATTTTGGATTACGGAAGAATTACTACGGGAGTTTGAAATCTCTTTATAGTATATTGCATTTGTTAACTTTTGAAGTGGTAAAGACAGTTTCTTATGTTTCCAGAAATTTCTTGGGATTCTCTTTCTACAGAACGAAAATACCGCTCAAAATTTCACTTTGATGATGTCATTTTTCTAATTAAAAAATGTTAGGCTGAAAATTTCATTTTGTTAATCAAAAATGTTTGGCTGAAGGAAGAGCGAAATCTTACAATAGATCTTAGAGGATTTATGAAAGCATCGTATTTCTTATCTATTAACTACAGACCACGGTATTAAAAGAGGGAATTTCGTCAGTCTTAAGTCTCAATTTGAGATTACAATAAGCTTAATTGTTAGGTAGCATGTAACAAGCCTAAACTAGAAGTATTATCAGATATACCTTCACAAGACCCATTGCTTCTCCCACGCTTCTTTACTAAATATGCATTGACAATTGTTCGGTGGACATCGTCCACTTCCCATATAATTATAGTCCATCATTCATTCACCGCCTGTGAGAAAAGTCTTCTTTCCTCGCACTTGTCGACAATTCTTCCTTTTTGACGATAACGAAAAACCCCGCCTTCGCTCACTGTTCATTTCCAACTTTGTAACATCGCATCGTTTTGTTTACTCGTGTTTTGTCCGGGAGTAGTTACTGTAACTAGTGCATGTTATTAGCATATTACAAACTTATATAAGTGCAATCCCTTCATCATTTTCGAATCTTCTATTGACGCATGTTCGGTGATGCCGAACAGCATACAATGTTTACAAATTATGAAATGCTCTCCAGTTTCAATTAGCTGACGGGGATAAATCCATTATGCGGCTCCTTATTAAATAAAGAATTAGCCAGGGCATAATGGAGCATTTGATTCTTTCCGTGAGATCCAAATGTTCATATTAGACACTTATCATGTTATTGTTCCTTATCATTTCATTCGGAGTCCTTTTCCAAAACGACGACACCGTCCCAAACTTTTCTAAACTTCACTAATCAGAGGTAATAGGATTACGGAACATCACCCCATGATTGTTGTCTTATACTATAAATCACTGTAGGATAGCTCATTTTTCCGCTGCATTTTCGTTAATGTTTATTTGGTGATAAACTTCAGTAATTTGACCTTAAATTGTACTATTTAATTCTTGCGGATCTCGGAGAATTTAGGAAGCGGATTGCAATATATCACTTCTGTATTTCCAATGTGTGGCTACTCTTGAAATGACGAACTTTTCAATTTTCTTTCTATGCGCAACTACTATTTTCAGAAGATTCGGTGACTTCAATACTTGAGTTTTTTTATTGAACGAACTAATTTATGACGCCACATTTCCTGGCAAAGATGGTGGCATCACCTTATGCTTCTCCTAGTCCACCGCAGTATCCAGTGGAAAGAAAGGTTTGTTGATAGTGATTTTTGAGTTTCTCAAGATATGAGAATATCTTGAGATGAAGAAATATTTTCCATGTACGTGATAGGGTGTAGAATAAAATATTCATAACATTTATTATAGAAAAAAGACTGAAATCTAAGATGAAAAAAATATTGCAGCTGAAAAAGCCCTTGATGGAAAAACGTCGTCGGGCTCGCATGAACGAATGTTTGGATCAGTTGAAACATCTCTTACTACACATTTCACCGAATCATCGTACGAAGTTAGAAAAGGCAGATATTTTAGAAATGACGGTTGCTTATCTCAATCAGATGCAACATCCACCCTCACCCTCTACATCATCATTCGGTAGGTTCTTCAGCTTATCTGGTTATGATTTTTCTCTCTCTGATTTTTCTCTTCAGGGTGGATAATGAATGCAGTCATGTTGGAAATATATGTTCGTAAAACAATGAATTATCTACAGTTCTTACCGAAAAGTATTCTAAGCAGCTAGTTTATAAGTTTGTTGGCCACCAAAGTTATGTTAATGACCTCTCAATTGAATCGTTAATGGAACATTTATTCTCTCTGTTTGGGATAGTACCATTTCTGCATACTATGAGTATCGAAAAAACTAATTCGATTTTTAAAGAAAATACATTTAAAAAAAAAAAAAGCGATGTCGTAATTTCAGACAACAATGCTATTTATCAGCAATCTTATACGGAAGGTTTCACCGTAGCTGCTTCAGCTTGTCTGACTTATCTGCAGAATATTCTACCGCCTAGTGAATTTGCACCTCAAGCACAACAGTTCAAAATTGGACTCATACAGCATCTTCAGTCTGTGATGTCGAATCATGTGAATGGATCGGGTGAAAATTCAGCACCGGTTCCTTCTCATCTAGTAGCGTCATATCTGCCAACAAATTTCCAGGCACGATCACCATTAACCGGCAGTTACTTAGCAACAAATTACTTACCAAATCTACCTTACCCGCGCACTTCTTGCATTACATATCAGCCTAATACTTCTGGACTTTACGGCACCCCTGTACTGCGTACGGCGGTTTCTACCACCGTTTCAAAAGATTTGGTACCGCGATCTATTGCCGTTGCTGGTCCGCACTCCAGTTTATCTGGATTTTGTGGTAACGGTCGGAAAAAATGCTCTGGGCATCCAGAATCGGCGATAGGAAGTGAAACGAAAGGCAAAATTAATGGATTAGAGGAAGTAGAAACAATGAAGGATGTGAAAGTTTGGCGACCATTTTGATCATTTGTCGATATATTTCAATTGTTTTGCGTATGGAGTATTTTTTTTATGTTTGGAAGTATTACAAGTTTTATCCCGGAGCAAATTTTCATAGAGAGCAATTCTTTTTGTATTTCTTTTGATATTAGTAAGGTATGACAAGTAGAATCTTGCATAATAGGAGTTTTATCAAATTAAATCATGCCCTGTTGACGCGTCTAAGCGAAGAAAAGTGACATTTCCATAAGTTGAAAATTGTGCTGGTGATCTGTTGCTTTAGGATTATCTATTATCCGGTGCTTTGTATTTGTGTGAAGAGAAAGGAAGAGAATATGTTCATGTAACTCAGGTTATAATCATGAATTGTTGTGCTCATTTTGGATTAGTTAATGATATGTTTTCCATCATTTTATTCATTAAAATCTACATTGTTTAATTTTTGTATGTAATTTTAATTATTCTTGACTTGATATACTCATTTTTTTCTGCTTTTCAAATGTTTTAAATGTTTATATGCTAGGAAACTTTCGGGTTCGTTTATTTTGTGGCTTATTTTGGAATAAATTTTTGAGGTTGCATCATATGAAGGTTTGTTATAGAACAATCACCTCGTGGCATATTGATAGATAAGCAGTGATGCTTCAGTCGACTCCTGTAGGATGGATCATAGTAGTATTTCATCATTTTTGGTGCTTCATGGATCATCCGCAGCAAAATTAATAATTTAATTGAATAAGAGATCTTCGTTTATATCCAAGCTAATATTTTTTAGGATTGGAATGCCGGATAATCCAAATGAGTTTTGTATTTTGTGGGTTTTGGTGGTTTTAACTTTCTGTTCAGAATAAATATCCGGTACTGAGACAAATTGTATCCTAAGGTTTTAATGTAATTCTTGTTCTTGTTCGAATTTCTTATTCCAGACGGTATGTGCTATAATGAAGTATTGTTATGAGTATTATGAAGTTTTTCAGGTGTCGGTGTTTTCGAATGATAAAATTAGAATATAAGCATAGAAGCCCAACATAAAAGTTGGGCTTTTATGCTAGCAAAGTTACATGCATTACATTTGCATGTAACTTTGCTAGCATAAAGTTACATGCAAATGTCTACATTTGATTCTAATGAGATTTTGCAAAATAGAAAATTGCATCTGAATGAAACATTTTTCCAAAACCAAGTGGTTTCGAAATGGTATATTCTCGTGGCCTACTCGTGGTAAATTCTAACCCGCAAATTGATTTCCAATGTTGCACGATGAATGGTTGATAGAGTTTCCTTCAATTCTAGAACTGCAGAAATAGAAAATAAATTATCGTAAATACGAATGAAACAGCCGGATAAAAACGGCTACCTTTAATTTATCTTTAGCGATTCTCTCATTTTTCTTGTAATCTCTCCTTCTTATGATTATTTTCATTATTTTTTTGCATTAATCTTCTCTTCTGCTATAATTTTTCATTATTTTTTAAAACAGAAGTATTCAAATTTGTTTAAATTTATTAACGATTTTAGAATAATATATTCAAAAACTTCTTATTAGAATGATTCAGTTTCGAAGATACTATTGGAATTTCAAGTGCTATAGGAATTTTACGTAAGCTTAAAAATGTTTCGTGGAAATTTTGACGAAAATTTCCGCTTTAACAGTAGGCGATAACATCGGAAGGATAGTAATTAAACTTCCCCTTTTATGGTTCGTCGAATTTAGTTGAAAGAAGTGCGATGTCTATATTTAGTATGAATTCATAAAATGCTGTGATGTGAAAAGCGCTATTAATAGTTCTTCCTGAAGCATTACGTTGCAATCATTTATCTTGTCTACTACTGCCACATTCCTCATTTAAAAATAAATTTATCACCAAATTTTCTTTGCTATCACGAAGAATTTCGTTCTCTAATTTTTACTGCTTTCTTCTAAAATTTATTGACATCTAAAACATTTCAAATTCATGGAACTCCCATTAATTAAGACATAGCATGTTATCAATCATTTAGCAAATGAAAAATGTCTCAGGTCGATTTTAACTTGAAGTTACCGATTCAATTATTGAAAAGAGTATAAGTTCAAATATTCTAGTACGTCATGATATCACCTACAGAGTGTATCATATTCAGAAAGATGAAAAATGAAACCTACACAAGGTTCACTTTTAAATCATCGTAATGCCGTTCTTTTCAATGACAAACTGCTTATCTCGAATCGTCCCAGCTGTTGTCGGATCAATAATTCCTCTTGCTTGAATGATAGCAATATTATAGCATACTTTGCTGTAAACTCTCTTCCACTTTCCCTCTCTCACCCTTCTCTCTCTCTGTGTGTGTGTGTGTGTGTGTGTGTGTGTGTTGCTGTATATGAAATGTAAGAAATTTTCTAAAATCATTTGATTTCATTCGAATGAAACAATCTCTCCTATTTACAACTCTTTCCTCAAAGATCTAATACTTTTTGGATTTCTGCTAAAACATGCATGTGCAATAATGTTACGTTGTTGGTGATATGAAGTGAAATGAGAATTCTTTAATTCGAAGCGGATCAATCCGAGAGAGAGTTAGCTTCAGAGAGGGATAAGGAATCAGGATTTCACGGGAATGAGTGACCTATTTGGAATGTGTAGTTATGAAGTTGCAATGGTCACAGAAGGAAGAAATGATTAATTAAATGAAATTATGAAGAAAGGGAAGAAATGGAGTTGTTTGTGATATGTAAATTAGAATCTGAAAGGGTATAGGCTCCGTGCTACTATTACTACTACTACTGCTGCCGTTGCTACTGCTGCTTCTGTTACTGATAGCGATGTGGTCGATCACACATCCCTGTCCCCATTTCCTTGCTTAGGCCTAGTTGAATTAGTTTCTTCATTCCTTTCCTTCCCTTGTCCCCATCTTTTATTCAGAGATGCAGCATTGTTCACACGCTTAAAAAAAGTTGCAGTAGCAGTAAGGGATGGTAGCAATAACCGAAAGGCTTAGAGAGAAAGTAATGTGTGTATGTATGCGTGTGTACGTCTGTGTTGTATGTATGTGTGCTAAACACTACTTCCCAGAGAAGTGCCTCCGAAGAAAGGGCCTCGAATAATAGGCCTCCAGAATTCAATGCAATGTGTGTGTATGTCTGTGTGTGTATTCCGCAAGAACTGCAAGGACATATACACAAACAGTTTAGAGCTACTGAATTACAGCACAAGAGGGAGTAAGAGACTTTGATAGAACTGGCAGGAGCCCCATAATAATAGGTAATGGCCATGAAGAGAAAGAGACTCTGGGGATAGTAGGCCCAGCACTTGTTCTGAATGCATTATCGGTCTACCTGCTCAAATCTCTCTGCATATTGCGCATGCTGGCCTATCCATATTCCATGCAGATCAACTAAGATCGGGTCGGTCGTATGGGTGTGTCTGGCAGACTGCGTTTTTCCAACGGGTACTCTTCTGGTTGGTTGGAAGCATTCCTACAATTGTGCATTTCATTACTTGCTATTTGTTAGACGGGGAAAGCAACCAGGTTATCCCGAAATATAACTTATACCTCTCTCCTACCATCGGCAGATACACTCAACTCTCTCTTCCCACATACATGCATGCATGCATATATGCAGACGCATATATGTGAATGCAAGGCATTGTTGCCTACTGCTACACGATGCTGTTTCTCTATGCATTTCGATTTTGCTCCATCTGTCTTCATGCATCTGCATTTATGTGTCTGTCTGTCTTAGTGTGTGTATGTGTGCGTAATGCAATAGCATCAATCGCAAGTGCCATATGTATGCGTGCTGCTACTGCCTACCGCAGCAACCATGGCAACCGATGGGCTATCTGTGAAGAGTGTAGTGACGGTAGTACCTCTTCTGCGGTTCCCGCGGTGGCTATTGGTGCATGTGGTGTTATTTATAGCTTTTCTTAATTTTCAATTTGTATATATGGGTAGCAGTATCTACCCGCCTTCTGAACTGCTATAAATTCAGTTGTCCCGTCTACCTTTTCAGAAATGGTCATGTTTTCATCTTCTCTGTTCTCGATCATTCAAGAAATGATCATTCAGGAATTCAGGAAATTTCCAGGTTCATGATTGTATTGTTTTTAGATATTTACCGCATACACTCAATTTCATAATATATGATTGCAGATAAGCCAAGTATCGCCAACAGTGGGAGTAATTACTGTTACCGCTGCTGCTATTGTTACAGTCACTCCTACATATTTATTTTTGTTACCGTCTTGACTGCTTTTTTGCTGTCTGTGTTTCAAACCTGTTTACTACTTGTCCCGTAAAAACTAAAAAAGAATTAAGGAAACAAATAGTATTATCGTTGATTATTCATCGTATTTATTGTTTATTCTCATTGGGTACAAAGCAACCTGCAATAACAGCCATTTCTCATCACAAAGACAGCACAGTGTACCGTTATTTTATCGCTACATTTATATAACACGAAGAACCGATCACAAATAACGGGAAGCGAGAGAAACATTGAAGAAGGAACGAAATAGAGAAGACGGTTCGGTATGAGCGAATTGGATCAGCTCAGGCAAGAAGCCGAACAGCTCAAAAGTCAAATCAGGGTATATACTTTTTACTTCAATGGTTTACCAAATTTAAGTAAAATTAGTTTCTGCAGATTTTTCATATTGTTATTCACATACCCGACTGCATCGTATTTAAAAGTTTTGTCACTATGTTAAAACTCGTAATTAGAATTTCACAGTAATTGACTACTAGGCGACTTACTCGTGTAGTGAACCATTTTGAAATAATCTGTATATGCCTATAATTCTTTATGAAGCTGGACACACTCTAGGAAGAAAGAACTCCTGCCATATTATACAATTAACCTGTAGGGTCGGTGTTAAGTGTAAAGCAAATCTGACTGAGTTCTTTTGAACCAATTTTTTTCCTTTATTTGATCTACAGGCATATCTTTCGATTGTTAGATGCAGGGTCATCAAAGTCTTTGCGAGATCCATTGTTTTTTTTTAATGTGAGATCGTCCCTGCTGAGGTGATTGAAATGATGATTTATATTTGTTTCGAAAATTAGACAAGGAATAACATGTATTTATCGCCATTTCCTTTTCTTCACAAGCATATAATGCTTGCTTAGCCATTAACTCTTTTTAGCGTAGTTTTTGTAAAATGGGGTATGGAATAATTTTCTGAAACAATCTCGGACTCCTAATTGCTAGGGTGATTGCATAGATAGATTCGGACAAGTCTGCTTTTTAAAGCGATCAGTAGTAATGTGTGACTGAAAGAAATTTGTGCTCATTTTGATAGTTTTTTTTTCGAAGGATATGACTGCTGTGGTGAAGAATTTAAAAAACATTTTTTTACATGCGAGTTAGTTTTGTGCTCATTATATGGTTCTAAAAGTTTCTAAGTCTGATTCTCTAAATTACTCTCCAGTTTTGTGTTCGAAAGCAGCCGGTTTTAAATGCTTCGAACACTTCCTAAAAGGAGAAAATTTGGAAAGTGATATAATGAATAGCAAAATGCATATGATATGTTTGATAGTTTGATTTATTTGCAGGAAGCTCGCAAAGCTGCCAGTGACACGACGTTGGCTTCTGTGGCCGCCAATCTGGAACCGATTGGTCGGATCCAGATGCGTACACGGCGAACATTGCGAGGACATTTGGCAAAAATTTATGCAATGCATTGGGCATCTGATTCCCGAAATCTTGTCTCCGCCTCACAAGATGGCAAACTGATAGTTTGGGACTCTTATACTACAAATAAGGTAAATTAGTTTCTAGGACAGTTTAAAGGAGCTTAGTTCCTGTAATACATGTCAACATTTAAACGAAATTATATGTAATGTGTTGATGAATATAAAGGCATCGTACTCAAGCCTTTTATTTTAATATTCTCGCACTGGCATTCTTTTATTGATTTTCGTAGTTTTTCAAAAATACATCCATCAGTAAAAGAAAAGAAAATTCTTCATTGAAATCCAGTGCTATATTGGAAGCAAACAAAACTCGATTTGCTTTTATCACTTTTTGTGAGCGCAATGGTTCCTATTGTAAGACTGCATTTTCTCCCGAAAATCATTGTCGGAGCTGGCAGGATTATTTTTTTTGGATATTGTTATTTGTGAATAAGTGTTATAATCGCAACACTGCTTTTTTACTGATAGCTTGGTTATAGAAGCCAGAGTTCATTGATTTCTGGAAGCATTAGCTGACAGTCGTTGTTCCCTTCTGTGGCTTGGAGCGGTTGTCATCCTTCTTAATACTGCTGGATAAAACACCGTATTGAATGCTTTCGTGATTAATTTATCAATACATTGGTTAAAGTTTGATATTAGTATATTTTGAGCACACGAATCGTAGATATGAGAGGAAATTTCTTTAACACTCTAGGTTTAGCTGAAATTCAACATTTAGGATCAGTTCTTTATCATCTGTGTAATACGAAGAACTCAAATCCTCAGTTTTAATATTGGAATTAATGACTTGAGGACCAAGAGAGGTCGGTTAGTGTGTTATTCGAAAAAGGTATAAAAATTGCGACTATCGTTTATATTAATTTATCACACTTTTATTATTCAAGTGTTGAAGGGATGTAGATTTATGCACATTCATGAACTTGCATAGGGCGATTGAAGCAGCAAAAGAATGATTTGTTTGATGTGTTAGTTTTTAGTATCAGAATTTTAACGATCTTGGAAGATATTGATTACAGTTGATACTTCGGAAATTATCTTTTTTGCTGTTAGAAATGTTATAGACCAATAAGTACTCGTAACCGTCGATACGGTATCAATATTTCGTGTCATTATTTTGATGTTGGTTATTCATAACGATCATTGAAGTATTTTAAAAAAGGAGCGTGTCTGGATTGATTTATCGCTACATTTTTTCAAATGCACATCTTTGAAGTGTTGAATCAAGTTTGATTGGAAATGTTTGTTGATTGTTTTTGAAATTTGTGCTTTGCTCACAAACTTTTTGCTATCTGTCACCCCACAGAATTTCTTTAATGTTTACATTTGTCTCTCATCAGCTGTTTAACCACGAGTATGGTAGCAAAGGAACTTCGTTCAAAATTGAGATATCTATGTAGCCATTGTAGACGTATTTTTTTCTTCGCGATTACTTAATTCTTTAACCGTGAATTAATAAGCATTTTGCTTCGTGTGACTTTTAGCTAATGCTATTCTGAGGCATTAAAAGGCATAACCTACACTGGTGTTGCTTGGTAACGAGTACATATAGTAGTTCAGTTGGTAACCTGCTTACCTGCTTTTCAAAGTACTATTCTATCACGGTTTGGCAAGAATGTATTAAATAATGTAATATGCGAACATTCTCTTCATTAGCAGAGCAGAAAAGAATGAAGGTGGAATAACTAACCCCTTGAAAAGTGGAGCACTCACTGAACTATCTCTATCGACCTATTTTTAGTAGTTTCGCTTCTGAAATCATAAATAACTGCATACATTTTAACTTCATCAGCTCGTCAAACATTTGAATAAATTGAATTATATACCATCTGTTGTGTGGTCATATGTTAGTTATACATGGTGAAAATCAAAGGTGTACGTTTTTATTATTATAAGTTTAAAATTCAAGATAGCTCTCGTGTTGTTAGATAGCATTCACGAAGCTGAGCAGAGATCTTCTATGCCCTTTTATATGCTAGCTTAAATGGTTGAAGCAGATGTTCTGTAGGAGGAAATCTTACCTGGGGGCTCAGTTGTTTCCTCTAATAGATTGGCTGTTTATTCTGTAGCTCATTGACAAAGTAACTGTCAAACGAAGAACGGAAGAAAATGGGTAGAGAAAAATGAATTTAGGGCTAATTTATTCCAAAATGGCAATTTTTTTGGTTTCAATATCGATTCATTGCATTTCAAGAAAGCTTGCTTATTGTTGTAGATTATTTCTTGAACCTTTTAAGTTTTATCTTCAGGTTCATGCGATCCCGTTACGATCATCATGGGTGATGACGTGTGCATATGCGCCATCTGGTTCTTATGTTGCTTGTGGTGGTCTCGATAATATTTGTAGCATTTACTCACTAAAAACACGCGAAGGTAATGTACGTGTTTCGCGTGAATTACCAGGTCATACGGGTTATCTGTCATGCTGTAGGTTCCTCGACGACAATCAGATTGTTACCTCTAGTGGTGATATGACGTGGTAAGTTGTATCCTTCATCTTTTTAATTATTATTCTTCGAAAAAGATTTCAAACACTGACATGATAAGTAATATGAATTTTGGACTATGCTATAGCCAGAGATTTATAATCTCAGAATTTGAGATTTGTAGGGATCGTTTGCAGAAATACTTTCACTTTTTCTGGAGTGATTTGTAAATGCGTATCTTTAGCTTTTAATTTATATTTCTCTAAATGAAGTTAATTAAACGAATTTCCCTAAAAATCCTGAGCACAAGTTGTTGTACAGATTTTAAATTCCTTTATCGTGATTTGTAAACATTCTAAATAATTATATTAGCATCCGTCTTTGAATTGGCTGCAATTATATCAGCTTTCTTAACATATTTTTCTTATCTTCTACGTCTGGGGTTGTTTCATCCACACATTGCTCCTTAATATGGTTGTGGTTGAGAAATTGTCAAGTACTTCGACTAATATAAGTGTTTGTATTTGAAGCCTGAAGAAGTTGAAAGAAGCGTGTTTAGTATTATTATGATATATTAATAACAAATGGTAATTGTAGGTAATGCTAGTCATGGACAAGTTAATCAGATCCACTTTTTATATTAATTTTTACTGCAGAAATAGGAGCGTTGTATCCTTCTCCCATGGTAAGTTAATACTTATTGTGTTTCAGATTTAGCGCTCAAGATGCTGCCATTTTTGCTATTACACCTTTAATAAACAAATAACTCGTAATGGCTAAATTGACGTCATCTTTATCAAAGCATTTTATAGCTGGAACCAATAGCACCAATAATATTAGCACGTTTTGCGATAGCGACTAGAATTTGTACACATCTGCATATTCATATACATGCAAGCTTTGTTTCCAAGAGCATTTTACTCCATATGTTTTTCAAGAGGAGACAGAGAAGGAAGAAAACTAAGCTGTGCGTCTAATGGTTGATGATTATTTGTGTTTTTGACCAGTCGACGAAGTAATGGTACATAAGTAATAGCGAGCAGCTTCTGTAGTACTCTTACATCAGCTTGGCTACTCACTTTACAGCTTTAACAAAAGTTTTCTCTAATGTTTCTAAAAAGAACATTCAATCTCTCTACTCCTCTTTCAGCATCTTGTTATGTTATTATATGGTTTGCCGTTATTTTTACTATCCTTTCTAGCTAAACGCACTCATCCTTTTATGGTCTCGAAATCGATTTTTAGTCAAAAGTTTAAATCTTTAAAGATGAAAGCTAAGAATGAGATTCTCTGGCGACTACTTTTGCTGCGCTCTCTCTCTGTCTTCCTAATCATCCGACCACTCAGTGTACATTGTACTCTCATTTATGCATTTAAATGAACACTTGCAAGATTTCATTGCTTGCAATGCAGAACGGTCTCACATTTTTGTAAGTTGGAATCAGGATTTGGAAAAATTGTAGTTATTCGGTAATATCTCTTAGAAATCTGTATTTATTTGTAGTTCCGGTGTACATGATATATTTCAGAAAATATGGAAAATTTATTGCAGTGCTCTATGGGACATCGAAACTGGGCAACAAGTGACTGCTTTCACAGGACATACAGGCGACGTGATGTCACTATCTCTCTCCCCTGACATGCGTACCTTCATATCAGGTGCGTGCGATGCATCCGCTAAACTTTGGGATATCCGTGATGGAATGTGCAAGCAGACGTTCCCTGGACACGAAAGTGATATCAATGCTGTTGCCGTAAGTTTATAAATTTAGTACGATTTTGTTCTAAACAAATATCTTTTCACTTTTGTCAAGAACAAAAAAACTGGCCTTTCTTTCAAGGAATTGAACAACACTACTTTCCCTAAGTCTTTTGTTACTGAAACATATTTTGGAGAGAAAAGAAATTTTTTCTCTTATTTCCAATTTCATAGTGGTAATTATATAAACATCTGATTTCTTTCATTTAAATTTTATTTCCGCAAATTTTTTAAATTTATTTCATATCATAGTATTTTAGATGATGTTCCGTCACTAATTTGCTTTTCCTTTAGTATTTTCCTTCGGGACATGCTTTTGCTACTGGCTCAGATGATGCAACCTGCCGACTGTTTGATATAAGAGCTGATCAGGAATTAGCTATGTATTCTCACGACAATATTATATGTGGTATGTTTTTCGTTCATCTTTCTGCTTTTAGTTCCAACAAAAGTTATTTTGGTCATTTTTTGAGACTGATCATGTCTATTGCATTACTGAAGTAAAATTCAGTTAAAGCAATTTCATAATATGGATCTAAATCTAAAACTTGAGATTTGTGGTCTAATTGTGCTCTCCCACTAAAGCTTCTTGAGGACCAACCATATTTCTTTACATTATGGAAAATTTTATGCTTCGTTTATTTTAATCTTGCAGTAAAAATGTTTCAGATTTTTTGTAATAAATACGATAAATAGCGATTTCCTAAATTGGATGTTTAAAGTCATAAATTCTTGATCTTTACATTACTCTCGTTTAGGAATTACCAGTGTAGCATTTTCTAAATCCGGCCGATTGCTGTTCGCAGGTTATGATGATTTCAATTGCAATGTATGGGATTCAATGCGGCAAGAAAGAGCTGGTAGGCATATTTTGATTCATTTAAAGAATTACTTATATATTTTTCATCTCGTGATGTTTATGAGTAAAAATTAATCTTATGAATAAAATTAAGTATTAACTCAAAATTTTTTCATACGTTGTTTTTATTTATGCATGAAGTACGTTTTTAACTCAGTGTGGTTTGTCTTCTCTTCTGTTCAACAATGATCAGTAGGAAAGTCATTAGATTTTTTAGATTTGGATTAGCCTTCTTGTTTCATTTCTTCCAATATATCATATATAGATAGGTTTACATTAAGTAAACGGAACTCATATTTCCAATGAAATTCGAATTGACTTCCATTAAGATATTTTTGAAAAGAGTCGTGGCAAAATATTGTGTTTTACTTTGAGCAGTCATTTAGAATAATAGAAATCAATTTTAGGTGTATTAGCCGGTCACGATAATCGCGTGTCCTGTTTAGGAGTTACAGAAGATGGAATGGCTGTGTGCACCGGTTCATGGGATAGTTTCTTAAAGATATGGAACTAGGATAAAGCATGAAAGTTAATCATCTTACATCATACCTTTTTACTGCTAAATTCGTTTTATTTTTCCATTTCTCTGATGAATAACAGGCTCATCTTCACCGGGCTTTTTTTCATTTATGTTAGTACCATTTTTGCAATTGAAGTTTTCAAGTTTCTATGTTTGCAGTGTTTGATGCTCTCTTTTGCTTCTTTTTTGATATTTTATTCATTTTTGAACTACTGCATCCTTCCTACAGTACTTTTTGTAGTATTTTGTGGTGGTCTATAGCAAAACTTTTAAAAACTTTTGAACTTTGAATTTCTGCTGTTCATCTGAATATAGAGTCAAGAAAGTTTTTGCTCTAAAATTGTTGTCTTCAACAAATGATTTCTTTTCTTTGACCACCGCATTTACGATGCTATTTGGTTCACTTATGCTACCGGTGCATAACTTATTTTATTACCGTTGCTGATGATGATTATTTGGTACTTTGCACTAAATACAAAAGATCCATTACGTTTCTCAATATAACGTTTTCGAGATCTCTGATAACAAAAATAGTTGCCATATGTCTTGTGGTTTATATGATTTCGGCATAATTTCAAGACTTCCGTTATCTTCAACTTTTTTCTGTCATAACTACGGAAATATTTCCATCTTATATTGAAAGTAGTTTGAAACGTTTCATTTTTATTTATTACTTGTCAAACATTTTTATCTATTGCATCATATTATTATGTCAGCTGAGTAGAACGTATGTATTGTCAGTCGTAAATATCATCAATTTTTTCAGATATTCGCTTTTCCGTTGTTTATCAACATGTCCTGTATTATAGTATCACCTGTATACTTTACTCTTTCTGCAATTGACGGCTGAACTAGTCGCTGAAATACAGGAAAGGTTTAATGATCAATCATATCATGAATCTTTCAAAAATGCACGGCGCTTGCAAGATACGGTGGTGTTAGTTCCTCTATAAAATTTTATAGTGATTAGAAATTTCGGGTAATGATGCAGTTTAGGGGCAGAAATAATGACTTTCTGGATTTCCGGAGGGATTCGAGAGGACGCTGCTTGAGAAAAACAATGGGTTCATAAAAAATGAAAGCTGAAAATGAAAATATATTTCTAAACCTTTTGGAAGTTTTCAACCATTTTCTTTTTATTCGTATAACATGTTTGTTATCGTTTTTAAACTAATTTCAGTATTTTATTTTTCTTAAAATCCGGCTTCTTTCATTTAATCCGTTTTCTCCTGCCGTATTTTGCACATTATATGTCTATTGGTGTATGTTTATGTGAGCGTCTGCGAGTGTGTGTGTGTGTGTGTGTGTGTGTGTGTGTGTGTGTGTGTGTGTGTGTTCGTGCTTAATGACTTATGTCTATCGTTTGATCATTTTAAAGTTTTTTATTTTAGCTGAAATTTGTTTTTGTGACATTCGACCTTCTCTTTTTTCGAATTATTGCTAAAAGGGCCCTTCAGTTAAGCTTTACAATTTCCTACAATCTTTCCTTTCTTTTTAAACTTTTATTTTACTGAGATATTCGACTGGGTAAAAGTTCTTGAACACTTGTTGTATTTCTTTCAAGAAAATTCTTTGTGAACAAATACTTTTCATCTTCATACTTAATTCTCAATCTTTCAAGATTGAGAATTAAGTATGAAGATGAAAGTCTTTCAAAATTGAGAATAAAGCATGAAGATGAAATGCCCATATTCCACGGGCAAATATTTGAAAAGACATATTGGTTGTTTTTCGAAGCGGCATAGCGGTTAATTAATTCCCATTTGTACCCTTAGTACAATGATATTCTTTCCAAAACTCACATGTCATTACTTTTAGTCTATTTAATTATGATAAATCTACACAAATCGACAAACATATTTCAGGTGAGTTAATGACTTTGTTCCAAAATTTGAATTGTTTCTCTGTGGGAATATGAATTGTTCGCATACACCATTTTGATTTTTGTCATATTTATCTGTATTATGTTATTTTATTGTCATTATCACTACAACTCTGTTATTAAAGTATGAAGCTTCGCTACTTGAATCTTTCCACTACAAAAGTTCATTATGTGCTACTCAAGAATATTTCTTATCATTTATTACCGTGGTAAAAGCAGAGGTTAACGTGTGCAGAATATGGGAAAATCCATTCGTTGGTTCTATTTTCAAATATAATGTGTGTTTTGGAATTATCAGTGTAATGCTTCCATGGTTATACCTCGGTAAACATTTCAGTGGCTCATTAGCATCACTAAAATTAGAATACTTCAATCCAATTCATTAAAGAATTTTCGGAATTTCTGTATGCTCAAACTAGTAGTTATGATCTGTTATGACGGCATCGTAATGCTTCAAATAGTCAGTTCGTAAAGATATTTGTTATTTTCTAGATTGTGCGGTGACGAAGACGGTTGCATTCTTCATTTCGCAAAAGTACTTTATAAAACTTCTATTAAATTATTGTCTATTTTATTTGTATTTCCAAAAATTAAAATCTGTTGCATACACAACAACTGCTAGTTGTATTTGTGGGGGTGGATTCTTGTGTTTTACTTTTTTGAGTGGGATAAGATGTGAGTGTTGTGGATTTCAATTCTCGGATATTTAACATATTTGAATTTTCCGCTATAGTTATTTAAAGGGAAATCGGATCAAATGAATATATTGAAGAAAATTAAAATTTTTAAAAAAAGTGGTGAGAGTACTGAGGATGCTAAACAGGGACAAGATGGAGAAAATAAGGTAAGTGATGCAAACAATTTTTTCGAAACAGAAAAAACAATTAAAGGAAGGATAACTTGACATCTATCTTCCTTCATAAGCTATATCGAGTATTCACAAATTGGAATTGCATTTCAAAATATTCTTTAGAATTGTTTTAAATTTTTAATTCAAGAATTTTTGGTGCTAAAATTTACGGGCAAAAATTTTTTTAAATTACATTTATCGCATTCTGAAGTACAAAAAACCAAATTCATTAATTGAGATTTTCAATTTGATGGGTTTGAAATGTTACATTCATGAACAGAAGTCAGTAATCTAATTTATTGATTTCATTTAAAGCCGTAATTTATTGATTAATTCTTTAATTTCTTAGCTGTAAGTTCATGTCTGACTTTGAATTTGTAATTGTCTTTGAATTTTACAAAGAGATCTTTAAAAAATTGAGAATTGAAAAACAAAACTACAGAAATGTTAAGGAAATAATGATGAGGAATATAATTAAAAAGTAGTGAGGAAGAAATCCTTCCTTATCTATCTTTCCTCCATTAATCTCCTAAAATACTATATTCTTTCATCAGCTGGAAGGAACTAGTCTTTCTTGCTGTCAGTTAAAAGAATGAAAAAGTTGGAAATTTTTGATAATGAAAGAATTGAAAACTATGGCTAGTTATGATAATGATATGATAATGAATAGAACTTTCTATGTTTATTTAACCATTTGACCAAACTATATGAGAAATCAAATCACTTTCATATTCTGTTATTTTTAACTTATTTCAATCATCTACAATCAATCAATCAATAAGTTTTGCAATTTATTTTTGTTCAAAGGCTAATTGTACATAGCAATAAATTTACATCGCTTGCATCACTAATTACTCATTGTGTGTAAATTGTTACAAATGAGGCACTAAAGCAAAAATTAATCTCAATGGATTTAATTTGATACAAGCTAGAGTTATAATTTTTGATCTTTATTATCATCCGTCGTCCTTCTTCTTCTCAACGGTTCAATTTTCTATTTCCCCTTCTCTCTATTGATTATGAGCTGTGCAATACGTCATTGTCATGTCACCTTTGTTTAATTTATAGGTGATGATTACTCATGCTTTTAATGCATAACAGATTACTAACATCATTTTAATATTGTATTTAGCTTAAGCATAGGCTTAAATCAATAGTAATTTATCAAAAATAAGGGAAAGAATTATATTAGGTATAGGATAAGTAAGAGTTGATCAAAATGATGCAATGATACATTTGCTAATTTTCACAATAAAAATAATTTAAAATAGAATTTTAAAGATAAAATTAAATTCTAATTAATTGATTGATGGTAGTGTAAACATTAATTCATTTTTCAGGATTAGATTGTACTAATTAATCTTCATAGAATTATTCTCGAATGTATTTTCTCGGAGTTAGGCAGCAGTTAGAAAGAAGTTATATGAAAATGAGTCATCTATGGAAAGCTTCCTCTAGCAGGCAAATACATTTTAGTAAATTTTATAAATTTTTATCAACAAGAGATTAATTCATCTTCTATACTTATTAATATGTTTCACAAACTTTAATATCATTAAAATTCTATCCCGAAAGAAAAAGGTTCAATTATTTATAAGAACCACCGGAAGGAATCGATTACTTCAGAGTACCATTAGATTCACCATAAACTGTATAGCCTGATTTGTAAACATTACACTATTATGCAAAGCTACAAATAAGCATACTACTATTATCTTTGATATGTGTATTTCAGTGAGATTTTAGTGATACACATCAAACTTCTGCTATATATGTATTACACGGATCAGTGTGGTACTATTTCTATTCCTTCTAATAGTACCAAACAAATATGTAGCGCTGCTTTTAAATGCATATCTTAAATGTGTTTTACCATATTTTAAAATGTCTAACAGTCTATATACTGATTTGTTTGAATATTCAAAAATTAAACTTTTATTTTAATTACAAAAATTAAAATGAACAAACTTTACACTCTGCTTAAACTGTGATTCAAACTGATAGCTTCAAAAATAGCAATAATGTATTGAAAAATCAATAGTGATACGATCAGTACGCGTTAGATGTCTTGAACTAAAAAAGTTATGCATTTCAAATGTGAAAGTGTGAAAACACTAGTGTGAAAAAAAAAAGTGTGAAAAGTGTGAAAAATTTCAAATATGAAAACAGCAATTTTTCAGATGAAATTAAATACAGAAATTGTCATGCTCAATTTTTTCTATTTCTATCTCTGCAAAAGCAGGAGAAGGAGAATATTTACTCATTTTATTATTTTACCTGTTCGATGATTGGGATATCTTCATGTAGACCACCGATGCGCAACAAGCGTTTACAATGGAGCAAGCCAGTAAAGCTCTGAAAGCTTACAAGGATCGCAAAAAAGCACGACAAAAAGCACGTGAAGAAGAAGCATGTTATGTGGAATACAGGAAAGCTGAAATTTTGGCAAAATTTAAACCAAAAGTGGGAACGCTTCGAATTGCTGATGAGGCAAGCTTTTAAATCTTTTAAAAAATCCAAATTCATTTAATTTCATATTTGCTCAATTATTAGTTTGGAATGGTTAAAAGATTTGTTGTTTATAATTATTAATTATTTATAACTATGAATTAAATTTGTCTTTAAAGTAATCTTATTTCAATTTTTGGATTTTCTTCTTGAGTCATAAAAGTTTTGCTTACTGCTTAATGAGTAATTTTCTGTAATTTTATATTAATTAATTAGTGAAAAAAGATGCATATGGCATGATTGATACGTTCTTAAAAAGTTTGTTCACAGAAATTCGAAAAAGCATCTATGCATAAGAATGAGAATGTTTAGATAGATGAGATGTCAATTGTAGGTTTTTCCAAAACGTCGCAAAGGTTCAATGGGTTTTGGTGAGCGAAAAGCTCATTACCTATCTATTCGGCCTAAACCTTGTTATGCAACTTGGCTTGGTAAGCGTCGAAATGTCATCGAGGCAAAGTTAGTTATCTATTTATTGAATAGGCTGAATTTTAGCGAATAAAGAAATTTAAAATAGTTTTAAGAATACTATATTTAAGAACAAATAACATATAACATTCGTAACTTCTTTATTTCAATCTTTTGGTTTTTGAAACATTTCTCTTGTAGTATGTTGTTGAAATTTGTTTTAAGTAATATATAAAATAATTCAAATTTTTCTGTTGGTATTGAGACTAGATAGAATTCCTAAGTATGGAAATTATTTGTAGATAATTCTTTCACAATTGTTATAGGCCCTCACCGATGGCAATAGCAGCATCAGTTGATATGACAGATCATTCGGCTATCCCAGAATCAATCAAACCGCTTGCTAAAGAATCCGATAAGCAGGATCATGAAAATGAATCGTCTAAGAAATCACTTGCTCCAAAGGCACTGTCATATCTTTTGTTATCCTCTTAGTTAATGGCTAAATTCAATACGCTTTCCTTTCGTTATAATAATAGCATAATCTTGTTTGTTTTATTGTTCTATAAAAAGATAATTGGACTTAATTTATTGGCTCAGTCTATTTTATATTTCAATTATGTGCTAACATTTAAACCATACTTATAGGATTCAAAACAAACATCTCAAACATCTGCTATAGACATACAAACATCATCACATAAAAGATCATCAACACCTGGCTCTGACTTTGAAGATGACAATAGTCAAGTTAAAGTAGTCACCTATGGAGTAAATGCTGATAATCCGTTGATAAATGGTGTACCATTTTGGACTATTGAAACTCCTCAGTGAGCCTGAAGGTTTTTCCTAGAAGCAAAATGAGAATGAATAAAACATTTGGCAGTATTTATATTTTGTGAATGAAAGATTGATTTAATTTGAAATATATAAAAGATTTATGTATTAAAAGCTTTCAGCTTTCAGCCGATCTTACTTCTTTTGACACAAAAAAGCCACATTGGTTTTTTAGAGGTTTTCAAGAATATTTTAGCTTTAATATTGATGCTTACGGTGTTCCTATCTTTGCTATTTTTTTATAACAATTGTTAGGAGCATTGAACCCATGATGTACAATGAGCTTAAATTAGTAATAAATTAATGGAAATTATAATTCTTAAATTCACGAATTTTTAGAGAAGAAGAAGCAGTAACAGATGATGATTTGCCAGTTGATATGGATATTTTGGAGAAAGTTTGCGTCGGAAAAAAGACACTTGATACACGACCTTTTGAAAAAACTGAATTTAATCCGTTCGGTCCAGTATCTAAAATGAAATCGGTTGGTGCTTAATTAGTTGATTAGTTTATGAATTAATAGCGCTAGACGTTTAATAAAATTTGCTGTTAAAATACAAATATCAAGTTATAATTTATCAGTATAATTAAATTACTTCATGAATATAAAGCTGCAGCTTAATACCTAGAAGGAATCAAATAAATTGCAAATGAATTTCAAAAAAAAAAATCACTCAAATTGAAACTTATCAAACAGAGAATTAAAGCTATGTTATGAACAAACAAATAAAGAGAGATAACCAATTAAATCGAAATTTGAAGGATGATCCATTATTCGATCGCGATACGATTTTGTTTTCAAATACTGTCGAAACGGTAATCCGATTGCAGCCTGAAGATAATGAGAAGATACCACAACCTATTGATCCAAATCGACGCCATATTCGGTGGGCCGATAAAATCAGCGTGACAACTTTTGATCCCAGAAATCGACGACCCAAAGATGTGAATCTTTTATTTTTATAGCATTCAGCATATTTGAATTAATTTAATTTTTGAATTCTATCAATTCTATCGAGCTCAAATTACATTTATTTGATAATTTAAGACTTATTTGACAATTTCATAAATTATTTTAATTATGATAGTATTTTAATTGTTCTATCTCTTATTGTTATGATAAAGGCTAATTATACAATGGCAAATAAAAAATAATCCATAACATATCTAAGGATATAACATCGAACAAAATGATTTTATTTCATTCATTTTGTTATTATTATTAGGAATGAAAAAATTTAACCTATGAAATTAAGTGCAAAAGTTAAAGTAATTAGATATGTTTTACAATTCTCAAACTTCTTAAGCAATATATCCTCGAAGGAATTATTTTTATATTGCAATTCTCCCGCTGTTCTGAGAGATTTAGACGAGAATTCTTTCTTCAATCATACATTTTCTTACTTATTCGAATTAGTAAAATGCATTAATCATTTATTCACTTCATTAATTTCACTGGAAAATCGTTAACTACATATAATATATATAGCCAAAAATCGAAAGAGATCGAAAAGGGATGTATTATTTATGGATATCGTTGCAATAAATTATTTTCCGGTTTCTTGAATATGTGAGAGAAGCATTTTATTGTGCTTCAGGAAAAACCAATTTCTCTTTTTAAACTTATGATTTTGCTGAATTTTTTCTTGTTCATTTTTCTTTATGATTAGAAAATTCTTTTTCATTCAACGAAATCAATGCCAACGATTAATTATTCACAATTAGATTAGGTAGAAAAGGAATTATTTCATTTTTCATCGTTGTATTTTCTGCCTTTTCTTTTCTTATCCATTTTTTCATAGTGTAAGAATCGAATTAAAATTTCGATGAAATTACTTTTTTTTTCAGATCAGAATCATTCATTATCTTTTAGTTAGAATTTTTATCACTTCAATTATCAGTCTTAGATTAAATTGTAGGAAAGATTTCATTAAAAAAAATAACCATCAATTGATAAAGCTAAAATAATTTCTCCGTTCTAATTTACCTTATTCAATCAACTTAATTACCAATTACATGCATTCTTATCTATCTGATATCTTGCGAATTGGTTTAAGAGGGTGAGGAATAGCAGTAGCAGTAATAGTAAAATCTTGAATATTGGTGTTTCCAAATTAGTGTCATATTTTAAACAATAGTCATAAAATTTAGTTTAGTTACATTTCACACATCATTAGCTGTTTCATAAAATTTTAAAGTATTATCTGAATAACTGTTGATTAAGAAGGAAATAAATAAATGTTGCAGATTCGGGTGCCGGTCTTTGAACCATTACGAAACATTATTCGAGATCGTCGATAGCTTGCTAGATGAAACAAATATTCATAGTGACTTCATTATTTCCATTTGAACTATGCAGTTTTTAATTGAATTTAAAACCTGTCAATTATGAACATTTCCAGATAAATGAATTAATTTTATCTTTTTTTCACATTTTATGTTTGGCAATTAAATTTCACATTTCAATTTCCTTTATCAACTGCTTTTCTCCTAAATCAAAAATTTCCGAATTTCATTTCCGAAATTCCGAAATTCTCCGGTAATTCCGTTGCGGTATTTTCATGAAATACTTGGATTTCGTCAGTTATTGCTGCTGTATGATTTCGTCGAAATGTTTGACAGAAAAGAAAATGAAATATGCATCTAAATTAATGCAATGGTCAAAATTTACACATAACTGAAAAATTTTCTTTTCTTTCCGTATTAAATGAGAAAAAGCAGAGCAACAGTTTTCAGAATATACCCGAGAAAATCAATAACAAACATGAAATACTAATTGCTTGAAAATAATGAGAAGAGTTTCCAGTATAGCTGTTAATAATGATAATGGCGCTAACTATTGTTTTCTATATATGGATGATTTTATAAGAGAAAGAAATAGGTTGTGTGGAAATGCTTATAGGAGTGTCAATGGCATATGGGTGAAATTCAGAAAAGTATAAAACAATGAAATTAAAAGGAAGAAGGTGACGTAATTAAAAACAAGATACAAAAAGACTAATTAGAAGGAAATTGATTTCTTTTGTTTTTTCTTTTTTATGGGATACTATATTATGCAACATATAATGTTGTAGAGAAAATTTTTGCGGCAATTTAGATAGATATCGTATTTTAACGATCCTATTATCTATGATAATGAATAATGAATCATCTTTTTAATTTCGCATGATTCAGTAAGTTTCATCCTTCAATCACTAAAATGAAAAGAGTAAGAATTGAAGATTGAAAATAATGAATGCAACTATTTTCAATAATGATATTATCATAAATATAATTAATTAGTTATTGAAAATTATCCAATGACAATCGTACTGAGAATGAGAATCAAAAGCTAATTCAATTTTTCGGAATTGAAAATCACAATAATTAGGAAGGAGTAAAATTTCTGCTACTATTCTTTTCATATAAGATAAAAAATAGATTAAAGTAACTAACATTGACTCAAATCTCTAAAAGCAGCATCTCATAATTGGTTTCAATTACTTTGAATATTTTATTATCAATTAAACTTACTATATAAGATGAAATATTCTTTATTGCCATCATAATCAATTTAATTAATCAATAATATGAAGCACTTCTTTTTATGTTACATAAAAGTATATTTGAATTATCTCTCTGAAAATTTGCCAATCATTACGATGCAGTAATTTCATCTATTCCATCCACCAAATAATGGATGTATAATTTATGGAATGATTTAAGAGTGATTCCATATTTCACAATAAACATATCTATCACACTTCGGATATTTTACTATAAAGAAATTAAGCCATAATAATTTTGATCTAATTTATTCATTTGCCAGATACAGGATATCTTTGATCTGATTTGTTAATTTGTAGTTTTGGTTTTTATAGCAGCAGCAACACCGACTTATAATCCACTACATTTTCTGTTTGAGGGATACTGCAAAGATTAAACAAAAACAAAAGATGTAATATTACCGTCATCTCACCACTAACTTCTCATTATCAGCATCATTTATCAGAGAAACATTAATATTATCTAACAATGATCCAATCAGGCAAATAATAGAGTGTTGACATTTCAAGTTTTCTTTGGCGGTGTAGCCAAAAATTTCAACGACAGTTCTCTCTGTCTAATGGGCGGTCTTCATTGTCCATTTAAAAGGAACACTTACCAGCAATCATTTTCAGACCATTTTTACCGTAACGTCATAAGCACTTTTGAATCCTTTGCTTGCACTTTCTATTCTCAATACAACATCTCTTTGCTATTACTGTTATCACTATATCATAACAATAAGAATGATCCATATTGTTATGTCTGTGGATGATATCTCTATCATTGCTGAAGCCCGTCGTCGTTCAGCAGAACGAAAGGATCGATTTGGAAATGTTCGTTTAAGTGTTAGCAGACGAAATCATCCTCAATCAAAATAAATCAAAATATATTACATAGAATAAAAATCTATTACACATACTGCAAACTATCTAAAATTTCATCATGTTCTTAAATCCTGAACTGCTAATTACTGGTTTCTTTATGAACAGGACAATAATTTCAAACAAATGAAACAACAGATTTCGCAGGATGTCAAATCAACCTTCGAAAAAAAAAAAAGATGAATAATTTGCCGATTAATTGTTATTTATAAGTACGTTGTATTTTCTTTTGTTTTAATTCATCACTATTATACAACATTGAATCATATCGCATTTCAATTGTACATTTACTGAGATTGAAATATGATATATAAAAATAGAAAGAAGAAATAGCTTTTCAACTTTCGACATTTTTCTATTTGTTATTATTAAGTGAGTTTTTGAGAACGATCTCATTTTTGATCACTTCATTGAATTAATTTCTCAATTTAACATTTGTATACATTTAATCTAATCGATCGTTTTAATAATGATACATGTAAATTGTAGAATAAATTTAAATAAAATAGACATGTTTATTTCACATCGAATATATATATTGAAGGGCATATGTTCAATTTTCACTTTTCAATATCAATCTGTTATTTTCGAATTAAAAATTTGAAAGAGAAAAATGTTGAGATTTAAGAATTACTGTACATCGAATAATTGTATTATTGCAATGTAATACAAAACAACAAGAGTGATAGTTAACGAAGTTCATTTAACGATATTGTTGACAGTGCAAATTTTGAATATTACAAAGGAAACATGAAAGAAATACTTTTTCATTGTTCATCTATTACAAAAATACTTTATGACGAATTTGATGAAAGATTGAAAAGACAAGTTAGTGTTTGTTAGAGAAACAGCAAAATGAGAAGAGCGTGTTAAGTCATTAAAAAATAAAATAATCTAAATTAGCGTCATTATTATTAGCAGATGAAAGCAATAATTTTATAGTATAAGTATGATGAACTCTTCTATATGATTTGATCTTGCTTTATTTTATTTCAATTTTTCTTATGCGATAAATTTAACCAAAATAGTAAGCATACGGTAGATGAAAAAGATTTTTGGAAATGAAAAGAAAAATTATTTTAATCGATAATCATTTGATATCATTTGTAAGCATCTTTGCTTATCACAGAATTATATTAGTATTTGCTGCATCTTATAAGATTTTATTCGTCATTTCGTTAATTCTTAGTCGATGATATTGATTATTTGTTTAGAAGGAAATAACAACATTTGGGAAATAATAAATAATTCCCGCTTGTATCCGAAATCTCTTACCAATTGAGTGATTCCTTATTTTAGAAGATGGTCTTTTTGCATCTTATCCTTCTCTGTTATATAAGTTTTCTATATATTTTCTTAATGTATGTACAACATTGATCCTTCTATCTTTAAATGTAATTAGTAATTTGTATAAACTGATTACTTCGAATGATCGTACACTACATATTAAAATCAAAAACTCCTTCAATAATAATGTGTACTTATTTATTAACCATTTCTTTTTCTATTTCTGACTTATTGAAGTAGAAATTATCAAAGTGAATGATCAGAGAGAGAGAGAGAGAGAGAGAGAGAAAAGGAGAGACTTGAGAAATGATTTAATCTTATTTAACAAAAATATAATCCAATCATCAAATTATTTAATCGAACAGGTTAATCGACAAGCAACAACATTGTAGCGTTTGAAAGCTCAAAAATTTATTAGTATTTTTTTTATGCTGCAAGAATTTTCCATCAAAGGTAAGATTGCAATAGATTGGTTGACAAAGAACTATTAAGATTTCCCAAATTATAATTTAAGTTTGCTACAATCAATTTGTTTGGCAGGAAGAAGTTGCTACTTTAAGGAAGTAATACCTGTACCGTCATAGCACAGCTGTGTAGAATATACACATAGGATAAATGTTGCAGTAATAAACCAATGCTATGATTCCAAAAGAATAATTTTCAATAAAGTGTTATGGAAAGTTTTGATGAAATTGATTCCTTTCATAATTATCTTCCATTTAAAAATAATAAAGAAGATGGTGCGATAAGTATCTGAAATTATATAACAATAAAAAATTCTGAAAAATTACAATCAAAGAAGAGAAGAGAAGTTGGAATCAGAATCATTCATTTATTTGTTTAATCTAATTTGAATACTAATACATTCATCCAAAACAATCTATTTTTAGTCATTCTATTAAAAACAAAGAAATCGTTTATGGTTAACCGTTAAGTAATATTATATAATAATTATTATAAAAAACAAAAATCATACACTCCTGCATATTTCCAAATTTAATTTCAAAAATTGGTAGAATGTAGGAAAAAATGAGAATTATGGAAGTTTTACATTTTTTCTTAATCCTTATGGATTTTACGACAATGATAAATGAAGAGCTTATTATATCTTTCGAATGTTTGACTAATTAAATTATTATTGTGATACTTAACGTAATGTTCTTTTCATTGAAATTTTTTGTTAAGAAATTAAATATTGATAAAAAAAGAAGCTATAACTTGTCACATTTATTTTTGCTGCGGTTTTTTTGTTATCATTATCATTATCATTAGTTTTATTATCAGTGATAGTATCACATTGATTGAACTGATACCAAATATACAGTAAGTTTTCATAATGGATGTATTTTGTTTGAAATTTTTATGCTGAAAATTGCATTCGCTTTTTGCTATCGAAGAAGCAGCTAATAAACAATTTATGCTTGTTTAACTTTAATTGATTGTATCATTTGGCTATTCACCAATATTCAATCGTATCAATTTTTTTTAATAAAGAAAAAGTTTAAGCTACAGCGCTGCAAATTATGTAAAAATAGAAAGTTGGCACCACTTATCACTTTTGAGACTGATAACGTTTACATATATACACATAGAAACATATACACAATAAACGCTGTATACACAACATAATCTTGCATCTCAAAAACTTATCACTCATTTAAAACTGATCAGTTTGATAATTAATAAGACAAGTGCATCTTATTCAATTATTTATTTTCTTTCATTCAAATTTACAGTAATGTTAATTGATAGTTTTTTACAATGAATAATAAATATACCATAAATATGTTACATATGCGATATCAGTTTGTTTCACTTTCAACAATTATTTTTTGAATTGTTTTGCATTAGTTAGTATCTTCACAACACACCAAAAAGAATCCTTCATTTTCTTTATTGCCAAGCAAATATATTAAAGAAATGAAAATAGCATCGCATAGATGAAAAAGAGCGAAAATTAAAAAATTAGCAACCCAAAATATACAACTTATTGACTTCACGCCCAAAGTGTACAACTTATTGACCTCACGCGCTATTTAAAACTCACAGCTAACACAGCTAACAGCACCGCATAGATGGAAAAGAGCGAAAATTAAAAAATTAGCAACCCAAAATATACAACTTATTAACCTTACGCCCAAATTATACAACTTATTGACCTCACGCACTATTTGAAATTCATTGCTAAATGGAATTTAAAAATATTTTTTAATATTGTTGTAATAACTTTTTTATTGTTTTCCACCAATGGTAGATAAAGCAAATCAAAAGATGAATTGTAAAGAATATTTTAAAATGAAAGTAAAGGTTGTTGAAAATGAGGTTAACTGATATCGCATGCCTAATATATCATCTATGGTTTATTATTTATTGCTAAAAAAAAGGATCCTATAAAATTTGCAAAAAAACTATCGATTAAGATTACTGTAAATTTGAATAAATGTAAATTGATAATTGAGTAAAATGCATTTGTCTTATTAATTATTAAACTTTCAAATGAGTGATAAGTTTTTGAGATGAAAGATTATATTGTGTATATAACGTTTATTGTATGTGAGTGTATGTATGCGTTAGCAATCCTAAAAGTGATAAATGATATTGGCTTTCTGTTTTTATATAATTTTTAGCGTTGTGGCTTGAACTTCTTTTTATTAAACAAAAAAAATGATATGATTAAATATTAGTGATTAGCCAAACGATACAATCAACTGAAGCTAAATAAGCACAAACTATAATTTTTAGGATATATCATAAAGATTTCAAATAAAATGCATATTTAGTATTAATTCAATTAATATAATACTATCACTAATAATAACACTAATGATAATGACAATAAAACAATAAGGATTAAAATAATTTCAGCTTTTACTCTCATTTCATTATCTTTCGATATTAATTAACCTTTATTATTATGAGTGAAAATAAGTGAGAAAAAACTGAGAAATTTGAAATTTTATAAGCATAAAAGAGAAATTAATAAATTTTTGATTTACACTACCTGTGTTTCTTTTCTATATTTGGCATGAAATTTTTATCACCTTGATAAAGTCATGTATTTAAAATTTTTCTGAAATACAGACATGATCTTTACAGACAACTACATTCATCAAATATAAGTGTATATCATTATCAATAAGTATATATATATATATAATATATAAAAACATATCTGTATATTTTTCCATTCTTTAGCCATTTTTATTGCTAATCTCTGATAACCATTAACATTATTATTATCCTTTTGATAAAAAAAATTTTTTAATTTACATGAGAGATAACTGCAATCATAATTGATAAATGATTGTGAAGAAGTTGAGCATATGTTACGTTCGATGTTTATTTGCTATCAAAAACATTAACCATCAAAAACATTAGCATTTCAATGAGCGTGACTTATTAAAAAGGTGTCACGTATAATCAATCTTACCTGATCAAAAAATCTACAATATTTGCTTCAGCAATGTTTCTTAGTTTTTAACTGAATGTAGAATTTCAATTATCATTGGAATTGGAAAATTGAAGGAATAGAATTGATTTGTTGAATTTATTGCACATTTCTCTAATTATAGCATAAAAATTTTTATTTAAAATTAGTACACTTTATTTGAAATAAGGATATAGTTAACTTGATGTTAACTATTTCCTTATTTCAAACAAAATAATTTTTGTCTCATTTTTTTACCATTAATTTTAAATCATCCTTTACCTATTATTTCATAATAATTAAATGCTAATAAACGGTGCACATACCATATGTATTAATTATTGAGATAATTAATAGGTAAATATTATTGGATAACGAAGTGCGCATTCCTGAACTACATATTTAAACAAAGATAGCTTTTCATTCATTGAATTTCAAGACTTGTCAACTCTTTCTGTCTTCATGAAAATTATATTCAGTAAGGTTCAACATAAGGTTGCATCATTTCTTTTTGATCTCGTTTCCTTTGGTGAAATAAAAGAAGTGGCTCAGAAAGATGAACTCTAATAACTGATGTTTTGCTAGCCAAGAATTATGCCTGAATTGCCAACAACTATCCAACAAAATTTTAGCAACAGAACAATTAAAATTGACTTATTCTCTGATCAAAATCGTCGAATAGATGAATTAGTCTGACTTAATTTCAAAATAACATTTCACTATTTCATTGATAGTTTCGTATTAAATAAATATAAAAGACAATTTCAAAAACTTATATTTTATGATTGACAATTAATTTTTTCTTTCATATTTCAGTTTTAAATTCTAGAGAACATTTCTGAATATCATCTGAAATAATGTTTCGAAGATTATAAAAATCATAGAGAGGTGCCATTTTTAATTTAAATTAAATTTATGTTTGTAAATTATTGATACCGTTGTGCAATTCTTCTTCCCATGTTCTTTCAGCTTCTTCCTATGTTTCAAAAAACAAATAAATCAATAAGAAATTTATTCAATAATAAAAGAAAATATACTACAAATCTTTGAATTTCTTCTATCTGAAAAAATTCATAGAAAATATTTTTAGCATATTAGCATAAGAATTCCTACGATGAATGAAATTTTAATATGTGAAGGATTAATAATTTCTATCGCATTAACATTAATAATAATAATAATGATGATAATCCAAATTGGGAATTTAGCATTTTGAAATGCTCTAAATTTCGACAGCAATCATTAGAAAATTTCATTAATAAATAATAACAATTAAACATTAGGCAATAAAGAAAGAAAGAGAGAAATCATTGGCGAAGCAATGATACTACCAGAATGATTGAAAACTTAATAAATATGATTTATTTTAAGAAAACCAGAAAAACTATAATGATATTGAATTCTTCTAATATTTCCTTGGTAAGCTATTATTTTAATAGCATTAGTCAGCACCTATATAATAATTAAAAAAGATTAAAATTATGTTTGATAAACATTTTTGCGCATTTAATCAAATAAATAATTTAATTTAATTGATTTACATAATTACGACATTTTATTTTAAATACGACATAAGGCAGTATTGATATGATTGATGGATAGAATTATGATTAATTCAATGAAAGGATTAAATATTATTAAGATAACTTTGACACATGAAATTTCAAAATATCATATTTATCATAATCAACTATAAAACTAGCAATAAAGCTAGTTTTTTTTAAATTCTTCGAAAAATTTTGCAATAATTTTGTTAGCGATAAAATTTTAAATCTGGTTCTTATTTTTAAATATTCAAATAAAATTATTTGATTAAATTGATAACACAATGTTATCATTTATTCGTATAATATGATAACTTCGTTTTTACAATTTCAAAATAACAAATGCGTTGAAAATATTCGTGCAAATAAATATCTGTCGAGAAGGATTTCATTATGACAATACCATCCACTTCTTTGATCAATCCAATGAATATATTTTTCAATTCTTTGCAGCTAATTTAGTTCTTCCTGTAATTTTTAATTAAGGAGAAGTAAAATTAAGAAAATTTTCATTGGAGTTCATTTTTGTGAAATGAAGTTTTTTCTCTGTTGAAATTTCTTTCGTTGAAACTTTTAAAATTTCATTTTTTTTCATTGTTACTATTTAGAAGGTAAAAAATGAAGAGATTCTTATACTTTTCAATTTTGTTGTAATTTATTGCGATCGATTGCTTTGATAAAAAAAAAGAGAAGGAAAGGTAAATGAATTCAGGTGAAGAATGAATTATGGTATTGTTTGATGGTATAATAGCTTCTATGTAGGAATTCGACTGTCATTTATACAGTCATTTCATTTTTTCATTTTTCCCATTGAATTTGGTAAAGAGAAAGCCATTTTCTCAATCACAATATATTAATGAAATTCATTAAAATTAAATTAGATTTTTTTCCATTCATATTTCGGTTCAGGAAAGTCGTTCTTAATTCCGGTTTTTTAGCGGAATGAAAAAAATCTTTTAAGTAGTAAATATAGGAATTAAAAGATGCTTTTGTGAAAAACAAAATTAGAAATTGTTCATTTTGAAGTTAAAGAAGAAAAAGTAGTTTCATTATGATTTTTCTTGAATTCCGTTATGTTAATATGATAGTGAACTTATGATCATAATTGTGATAAGAAATTATGATTGTTCACTATGATTCTGATCACAATTGTGATAAGAAATTATGATTTGATCACTATGATTATGATCAACAATTGTGATAAGAAATTATGATTGATCACTATGATATGATCACAATGATTATGATCAACAATTGTGATAAGAAATTATGATTGTAAAACAATAGTTTTGATTGAATATAAATAAGCGAAAAGAATTTAATGATAATGAAACTTCATTTTTATGAATTTCAAACAAAAAATTATTACTCCCCAAATATATCTGAATACTTCGAATTTTTAACAAGAGAAATAAATTGTATATCAAACTGTAGTAAAGAATGTAATTATGCTCACAATTTCTGATTGCTCTTATCCCAACGGTGATCAACATTACTGATAAACCTTTGCCCATTACCATTATTTGATACAATTTGCTTATGTTGCTTTTCAAGTCTCGAACTGACATTACGAAATGATGATTTAACAATTACATCCGATTTCTTTGAGAGTACTGAATGCATTCGTGCCAATCCACTACTTTTTAGTAAACCTGGCAACCTGAAGGATTTATAAACTTGATAATTTCTAATGCTTAAATTGATGTAAAAGAAAGATGCGCTGGAATATTTGATATACAAAAGAGAATGAGTAAAATGTAAATCTAAAAGCGATCAATTTTATAAATAATTATTCGGTTCAATTATTTAAGTATTATTTTGAGTTGATCATTGATTCTGATTTGAAGTCAAAATATATTAATTGAACTAAAAACTGACATACCTTTTTCCCGAATGAACAGTCCTCAAAACAGTCGTTGTGAAACGATGATTTCCTTGTTTGTTAACTCGTCCTCTTCGAACTAAAGATGATAATGATGAAGGAAAAGAGAACCCATCTAAAGTTTGATACTAATAACTGCTTGTTTGGAGACAGAAATAAGTATTAGCTTTGTTCAAAGTGTTTTGTAAAAAAAACAGCTTCTTTTTAAAGTTGAAAAAATTTTTAGAAAAAGTTTACACTTACGTTTTCGATGACATTGCACACAAAATATACGAAGTGGAATATTTGTTCGAATGTTATTCCTAAAATGATAAAATCAAACAGGAACTGATGCTATAAAAAAGAGGCAATCGATTTTTAAAAGATAAATTATAAGTTATCAGTTTTTAGAAGACTTCCAAATTACTTGTAATTTTATTTCTATTCTCTGATACATATTTTCATAATTCATCCTTTCCATCATTCTACGTAAACTTTAAGATTTAATTTTTCAAAAAATGATAGAATTGATAATCACCCACCGATTTTACCACACTATTAAAATAGTTATGCCTCAATTGATCTCAAGTAGAGCCTTATGATTATTTTGGTTAACCGCAGGAAAAATCTCAAATGTGGTTACATCATTCTTTTGATAACTTTCTAACATTGCGATATTTTCGGATCATCTGGTAGATTTCTTTATTTTCTCAAAATACATCATCTTGCGAATCACAACATTTTTCATTTCTTTAGTCACGACATCATTTTCCTACTTCTTCTTTCTTCCCTTTCCTTCCTTTAGCAGTAATTCAGATTTCAACCTACCTTTAGAAATACCTATTAAGATGATGAACGAAATGCCATGCCGTCATTATAAATAAAGGGCATAAATTACTTATAATCAATTTTGCTAGGAAATTTTATTTTAAAACTAACAGACACATAGTTTTGTTTAGAAAGACTTATCCAAAGATGTTTACAACGAATATTGACAATCTTTACTATATATTTTACCCAATTTGACAACCTTTACTATTTATTGACAACCTTAACTATTTATTTTACTGATATGCATTGCGATAAAAGACTGTCTAATATAATAAATTTTCTTAAAAACTTAGTGAATAGAGTAAAACGATGAGGATATATGCTTCTTAAATGAATTTAAAAGCATAATTTATAAGATAGAAAAATTTCATTTAAAAAATTTGATTGAGAATTTCCAGTTTTGAAATTTATTATTTATTGACAACCTCAACTATATATAATTTAGCCAAGTACAGCAGTTATGTTGAAAAACAAACTTATAATGGGTGGAAGGCCACGGAGGACATTGTCCTTTACGTATTGCAAATGCTGTCGATGGATTGAATTCGCAACGTCCTGTTAACGGATCATAATGTGCTAACTAAAATTTTGTGCAAAATTTAGTCAACTCTTTTTCACTTTAGGAAATCTTAAATTCAATATAGCAAAAGAAAGTTACGGAACTTACGGCGCAATTAAATTCATGACAAGTTCTTGCACACTGATCGGTTGATACAGTCATAGCGAAATGTGTAAAGGAATTCACTTTTGGGCTTCGCATAGGTGTAGATATGTAAAAAATGGATGCAAAACATACTGAAAAACATACTCACTCAGAATTTATATCACTGGCTAATCATCGGCTTAATTTCTCACAAATTTTCAGAAGATTTGAGAGTTCTCGGTTAGAGCTATAATTTATTCCCTCTAAGTCAAATACAACATGGTATTGGTCTAATCAATGATCAAATAAATAAGTTATAACAAAGAGGAAAAAAAATAGACCTCCTGTTCTTAATGAATTGGAATGTGAATGCAACGGTGGCGGAAGGCCAATCCTTGGAGATGGTTGTGGTGGTTGCACACTTGGTGTGATCGGTAGTGTGATGGACGGTGTTCTTTCAGTCGTATGTGACGATGTTATCGGTACAATGAAGTTGGTTTGAAATTGCTTCAAATTTATTTAATTTTAATACACTGAATTATAGATCATAGGTTTTGATATGATTTTAATTTTATGCAAGATTTTAAAAATTCCTGTCTTCAGAATGACGATCAGCTTATTTGGTAATTATTTTCGAACTTCATAAGAGAGAAATAAATTGATTAGCTCTTGAAGATGGATCAGGATTATTGAATAATAATGATGTCAGTAGACAGCGAAGTAAGATAAATGAAAGAAGTAATTGCAAGTGTGATCAAAGTGATAAGGAGTATTTTGATCATTCGCTTCTGTCCATTATTAATGACAGAAGTGCTATTCATGCAATTTTTGCTGTTCATAGCTCGAAGGTATACCGGAATTGTTCATTTAGAAAATTATACCGGAATTGCTAATATTAGAAAATTATAGCGGAACTGTTCGATGATTGGAAAGTATACAAAGACAAAAAGAGATATTAATAAAAGGCTGTCTATAATCGAAAAAAGTATTCGATGTTTTTATAGGCTGAAACTAAATTTCAAATATTTTCAACAAAATGTTCAGCATTAGCAATAAATAAAACAAAGCAAGTGGTCAGAAGTAAAATTAGAAATAACAGGTCAATATAATTATCCATTCTTAAGTGAACGAAAAATGTGAACGAACCTGTGATTGATTCACAAATTGAGGTAATCGAGGTATCAATTGGGACACCTGTGGATTTGTTCTAGATCTAAACTTATCAAAGATGAAAAAGATAATGAAAACAAAAAATAGTATGCACGACAAACATTCAATCATTTTTTAATTTCATACAAAAGTATAGCTTCTGTAATAATAATTTTACCGGAATGGTGCACTTGTTGGCAACGGTTGTTGAGAGATAATTCTTGATGGTTGAAGTAGGAATTCTTTTCGTGGAAGAGGTCGTGGTGGTGGTAATGATGGTGGCTGTCGAATCGGTGGCTAAAATTAACGTTATGATTAGAAAAACTAAATGAATGAAAGGAATTTCCAATGTTTTTGCAAAACAACAAAATCATTCAAATTTTTAAAATATGATTTTAAAATATTTTAAATTTAGAAACGTACCTGAGAAGCTAACGGTTGTTGCCTGAAATAAAAAGATTAAGAATAAGATATGATAATTAAATATTACAGGTAATAAATGTAAAGCTTAGATTAAAAGTTTTAAGAACTTTAATTATTGGTAATGGCTAATTATTTCTATTCTATAAATTGAGCTATCATATGGATAATTCATGTAAAAATAAGCTGTCAAATGTAAAGAATTTAATCTAAACTTATTAAGAATTCAATTTCGTTATTCTAAAATAGCATCGAAGGTTTTAAATGAGAACTGTAAAAAGATGACTAACACTGAAATTACTAAACTCACGATGATCAAAGTTCAACATTAAAAACATTTCTTATACTTTTATAACTAGCACATAATTTGAATAACATACACAGTCCATTGAATAGGTGTTGAAGTTCCATCAATATATTTCAATGTATTTGGGCGTATTTGTGCATGCGTGGTTAATGATGCAGGTGAGTTGATGCTACCTGATTTATCTCTTCCTGCTATTGAGATAGATTGTTTTGTTATCTTCTGTTCCTCCTTCTCTTTTCGATATGGCTTCGGTATAAACAATGGTTCCTCTGATGATTAAATCCAAAAATGAATATTCCTTCTTATAATTCTTCTATATTAATACATTCTACTAATGAATTCAAAGAATAAAATGCGCTTAAATTTTTTGGAAAATTTCCAAAATATATTTTTGAAAGATAAAAAAATGATTTGTTTGAATTTGACCTTTTGTAAATTTTTATTCGTTCAATCATTTACCTCCTCGTAAATCCACAAATTTGTCATCATATGCATCGATGTCATTTCTCACCTGTGTGATTTCTCCTATAAGCGAGCTAGTTATCATTACAACTTAATGCTTTAAATATCTGCTCGAAAGTTTGCAAAGGAAAAACAAGAGGTAGGACAAAATTAATTAATTAATTGCTATTCTATGACTCTATAGAAATCAACAATTATTTAACTAAAAAAAAATATAACTGACATTCTCATAGAAATTATTTGGTTTAATTAGACTGAAATTTTATTGTTTCAAAAATAAAGAATTAATTCTGATCATAAATTTCGAATAATTTCATACAGAACACATAAGCAAACCAAAATTTGAATGGCTGTAAAAAAAACTGACCAATTATTCCGTTGTTGTCATCTACTATTACTTCATCGAAGACTGCCCGCTGCGAGCCATTTCGTGGTGGTCCTAATGCTGAAAATAAGTTATGATTGAAGTTGAAATATTAAAATATAATAGAGAAGATTTATTAGTTTAGATGTTACATGGATGAAATTCATTTTATTTCATTACAAATTCCAAATTAGATTTAAATATTTTCACTGTCTAATATTTGCTGTTTAATTGCACAATCTTTGATGACAGATTTTATTTAAAGATTTTAAAATATTTTTTTGTGAATCAGTGAAGTATATATGAAATTCTTTTTTACCCATTTTTTAATTATCAAATATAACTACAGTTCGTGTTTTTCAACCTTTTCTGTATCCGCGTTGTTCAATAAGAAAAAATCCAGAATTACGATCTTTCATGACAATATTATTTTTCTAGAAGAATAAGCAAACTTTTCAACCTGCTATAATTTTTAATTAATTTTTAAATCGAAATTTTCAAATAAAATAATTTGAAAAGATAATGTAATATTATTTTTAGAAATGTAATCAATTAATTAGAATATTTCAGAAATGAAAAAGATCTCCTCTATATTCCAAAAATAGAAATTTCCAATGAGTCTTCATCCATTGGAAGAACTTTAGGGGAAATTTAACTTAACTTACCACCTATCATAAATCTAGCAAAGAAGTTATCATTATTTGATTGAGCAATCCTATTTCTAAATGATTTAAATATTCAGCATTAAAATCTCTTCCAATTTAATTCCTTATTTTTAACTGATGATAATAGTTGAATATTTCTTTCAATGAAATATCAAAAATGATTTATTTTAAGAGTGGTAAATTTTATGTTTACATTAATTGCAATCACAAGAATTTCAGTACCCTTAAAATGCAAACATTACTTACTTACAACCTTTTGCTTATCGAAATCGATTTCGTTTCCAACAATGCTGCAACAATTATCATTGTGTAGTTTTTTTTTAAGGAGCAATTTCAACTAATCCTTTTTTTCATTTTCCGCAGCATTGCGAATCCCTCCCTCTTCTCTCTTCTTGCCAGCCAACATAAAATATCATAAACTTACTTTTGAGAATTCAAATGATCGAAGAAGAGAAAAATGAGAATAGTACGAAAATACCATTGTTCCATTCTGAAAATGCAATTAATCGCCAGTCATTTATTTTATTGTTATTTTTATATGAACCTATATTAACCTCAAAATATTGCGTAATAATTATCCGAGCAAATTTAATTCTTTTTTTTTTCTACCGTTTTAAAATTTAATTCGTCTAATCAACATTGATTCATCATTTAATGTACATCAAATAATCGATACAGATAACATTCTAGAAGTTTTAAAATAAACAATATCAATAGTTGAATTGACCTATTTCATTTGTTGTATTGAAAATGAACAACGACAAGTATTTTTGATATATTCGTTTTTTTTTGAAAATTCATTTCAGAAAATAATTATTCAAAATTAAAACAAAAGAAACTTAATTTTGCTTTATTTTGAATGATCATTTTTTTCAGGCATATCATAAATTCATTAACAATTTCAATATTAATTTTCAAATCTTTTGTCTTATAGGAACGTGTTCAATAGTTGCACAAACGGTTGGTTGTAACGATATTAGCAGTGATGTAAGTGATACGATATCTTGTTTAAGTATCAATTTAAAAATAATTTTCCAACTTATTTAGAAAATAGATTTTTCATTTTTGAATTATCTTTTCATGTATTAAAAAAAGATAAATTATCGTAAAAAGTTGCAAAGAGAGATGAAAAGATCGAAATTTTGTCGTAGATCGACGACTAACGATACGAAAGTAATTTATAAGCTATGAATTAAATTCATTTAAAATATAATCACTTCATGACAGCAATTGATGTTTATATTGTTCATTCAAGTTTTATGAGAAGCTTTTTTGAATGCTTTCTTATTCAACCTTTAAATTCACGATATTGAACTTCTTTAATTGCCAACGGCAAACTGGAACAACTTTTTGCCAAAATGATGTTTTTCGTTTTATTTTTTTTTCGGGAAAAGAAATAGATAAAAAGTAATTTCACTAATGAATTATCATTTTCTCATAATATTTTTATAAAATTTTCCATTAACTATTTGTATAGTTAAAGAAATTATAGTTAAAAGAAAACATGATGACAGAGCATTAAGAATTAAAGGTAATGAATAAATTACAAATGAAAGAAGTGATTTTACACGAAGATTCATTTATTGGCATACGGGTAAGGTAACATTTGTAGTTTTCAAAAAAACCTGTATGGGTAAACTCTATCAATAACAAAACGCCCAACAAATTTCAATTTCACCTTAAAAAGAAAAAGCTAATATGAGATTGTAATAATATTTGAGATTGTATGATTCAGAAGTATTGCAAATACAAAGTAATTGTAGGAAAATATAAGTTGGATATAATATGCATATAATTAAAAGTTATCGATTGAATATTTTAACTTTAAAATACTTATTTGAATTTCACTGTAGCATTAACATATCTTATAGATTTCTGCATTGATTCGATCAATTGCTCTTTTTTTCATAAATGTTAATGAATGAATTAATTAATTAAAAGAAAGGTATTCTAATGTTCGATTGGATATAATATGCACATAATTAAAAATTGTAAAAGTTATCAATTGAATATGTTAACTTTAAAATACTTATTTGAATTTCACTGCAGCATTAACATATCTTCTAGATTTCTGTTCGATTCGAAATTTTATCTTATCAGTTGCTCCTTTTTTTTTTTATAAATGTTAATGAATTAATTAATGAATTAAAAGAAAGGTATTCTAATAAAAGAATTATAATTTAAAATGAAATGAAAAATTTAAAAAAAAAAGTTATTTACCACATTTTTCAACACATATAAATTTGATGTTATCAATAAAAAAAAAATTATTTACATTGTTGAAAATGTTTTGTTGACAAATAGCAAAAATAAATTAATAAATGTGTTGAAATCTTAAAACATAAATATGCTTCGATAGAATTTCCTTTTGTGATACTTTTAATTATTACCTGATTTATTTTTTAACTGCGATATGAAACCCTTTGAAAATTTTAGGAGTAGAAAATGAATGACAATTAGAAGAAAAGCGGACATTGTACAATTAAAGAAAGTAAAATGAATGAAAGAGAGAGAAAACAAAGAAAATCTTCATCGATTGTTGTTAATCGAATTTAATTTGATATCACTACAATGTTGTAGTTAGTTGTTGTAAGGAGAAAAAAAGGAAAATGTTCGAAGAATGATCATATTTTAACGAAGAAAAAAATCGATGGCAAAAATTTTGTGAATTTTTGTCAAAAGAAATTTATTAAAAATGGAAAAAATTATTCGTAGCCATAAGTTCGTGTAATTTTTCCGATTGATTTATTTGTTCATTCAAATATTTCGATAATTTAGGACATTTCTTGTTGACCTCCTCTTCCTCTTCCTCTTCCCTATTCATATAATTTATCCATCGCAAGCATCATTTCCTTGATCCTCATTATTTTCCGTTTTTTTTTTTTTCAAAGTTATAAAGTTTAAATCTTTTATCGATGATCGTGATATGATCGATGATCGTAGTTGAGAAGTAGTAACATATTTGATATTTTTGTTATTTGTAAATTTTTGTTTAATTAATAATAGAATTAATTAGCAGTTAAATTTCTTCCTCAATAGTTATTTTCATTAATTGAGGTGAAATAATTTTTAAAAAAAAATTTATTTCTTTTGTTTTAAAAAAGCAAAAGATTAAAATTTTGTTGAAAAAAGAATTAAATAAGAAACAATTAAAATTCATTCATTCTTTGTCATCTTTTTTTTTCCCTTCAGACCATCTATAACTTTTGCTACCAACCATATCACAAACAAACATAGTATTAAATTTTAGATTTTAATAAGAGTGTATTGTTTTATTTTTCCTAATGCCTTAATTGATGTTATAAGGATGAAGCTCTTTGGTGAAGCTCTTTTGCAATTTTATCATATCTCAAAGAAAACGAATAATAAAAATCGTTTTAAGGATAAATTCAAAAAAATTTTAGCCAAATGAAATTTTTGGAAATTTCAAAATTTTTTGAACAATTCAATATTCTGTAATTATTACATATGGGAGAGATGTAATTAAGGAATTATTATCTATGGTATATAATTGAACAGGAAAGAAACAATTTGCATTTGAAGTGATAGATGGAATCGAATTGAGGTCTGAGATTTTTGTGTAACACATAGTTGAATTAAAAGAAAATAAAGTGATTGGTTGAAGAGAAAATGGATTTTGGATAAATGAATAATATGTATAGTTTGTAAATTGAAAATCATTCAGGTTTCAAATAATTATTCAACTCAAAAAGAATTATTGAAATAAACCAAATTTCTTAGCTATCCTATCAAAAAAAATTCCAAATTCATATTTATACACCCGAAAGCTTCTTAATAGTTAAAATATATTTTTTTTTTTCATTCATAAACCCAAAGCATCTAATAGTTAATTCGAATAATTAAATATACCTTATCTTCCTTCCTTAAATATCACTTTTATCGTATCTTTCTTTCTTTGTCCTCTAAGTATCATTTTTATCTAAGCATTTCTGAAATTGTTGAATTAATTTACATTGATGGAAATTTTTGATTACACCTTCATTTCATTTCAATTTTATTATTGTATGCTAATTTTTTATGAGTCATTATCATTAGATGACCTTCAACGATTTTGAATATTTTAAAAAAAAAAAAAAGCAAATTTAATTATATGAGAAGAAAACGAATTGAAATCCTCAATGCTACAGCTTTTCTCTAATTATTTCAATTTCATTAAATAGGAAAATTATTTCTAAAAAAAAAAATTTTAATCAAAAAAACAATGATTGTTAATGAATGGATAGGAAATTAGCTACGAAGTAAGTTGCAAAATTATTCAGAAGAGGTGCTACTTATACAGATTACCTTTCTATTTCTCAACTTTCATTAAATATTATTCTAATCATTTACGATAGATATACAAACACGTACAGACTGCTGTAAATTTACCGCTAATGGTAAACTGTTGGAATAATCAAAAATGATTCATGTATGATTCAATTTTTAAAATAAATGCTGCAATGATTTCGTAAGAGTTGAAAAAGCAATTTTGAATGATAAATTAAAATTGATAAATTGTTAACGTAACCTTAAAAACAAAATTCACTGATACATTTCAAAAATGAAAATTAAAAGGAAAAGGAAAAAAATCGTTTTAGAAGAAATTGTTTCACATTGATAAGAGAGAATATATTGTTGACAGTAGCTCAAAGGTTTTTAAAAAAGGATACTAACGGACAATGTTGTTATCAATGTTATAATCCAATAAGAATGAAACGAAAAGTATTTGATGGTGTAGTATTTTATTGTATGTATTCATTAATTTCATTATTAAAATGATAGTGTTAAAAAAAAGTTAGTACCATTTTCTCTTTTTCTTTTAAGCGAAAGAATGAAAAGTTATCTGTTTGATAAAACATTCGGTAAAAATTTATGGAATTTTTTTTCAATTCTTGAAGTACAAAGCTGTCACTAATAGTTGTTTGAGCAACTTTCTCTTCAAATGATTTTTATCTAACAAAAAGAAAAGAGAAAAGGAAAAATTGACAGAAAAATAAAATATTAGTTTTGAAAGAAAGGAAAAAAAGCCGAAAAGAAAATAGAGTTAATGAATTGAAAAATTATTGACCTTCAATATCTTTATGATACTTTTGCAAAGAAGAAATCAGCAGGTTGGCAGTTTATTGTAGTAAAATATAGAGAAGTAAACTTTCAATATTTCGTTCCTTCATCCAATCCAAATACATGCTGAAAGAAGAATCTAAGAATCTTTCAGATGTAAAAGATTCGAAAAATATCGCTTTTTATATTAAACTTTTGAAATTGAAGAAAAAGTTTGATATGCTATAAATCAGAAATCAGTATCCTAGAATCTAGAAATGTTTTATTGATTGTAAATGTATCGTAGAATTGAGAAATGAGTTATCTTTTTAATAATTGTAAGAGAAATTATAGGAAAAGGGGAAAGGAAAGAAAAGAGATTACTGGTCAGCTTAACTAATTAAATATTCATACTAAAAAATTGACCACATCTAAGGCTTAAAGTGTTTTATCATTAACAAATGATAATTTATTGGACAATTAATAATTTTAATATCTTCAAGCATTGAGACCTTCAAAACTTCCAATCATTTAGAACTGGTCATTTTTGACTTATTAAATATCCATGCCAAAAAATTGACCACATCTGAGGCTTAAAACGCTTTATCATTAACAAATGGACAATCGATAATTTTAATATCTTCAAGCATTGCGACCTTCAAAACTTCCAATCATTTAAAAATGTTTTCTTGTTTCGTTCTGAAATATTCCTGTGATAATTTAAAATTTCATAATGTAAAATTGAAAAAGAATTAATTGCTATAAAAAATAATTAAGAAAACAATGCAATAGAAACGAAATGCTTAATAACTTTACGCGTGAAATTTAGACAACCATAATTGATGATATATTATCCAACAAATCTTACGTATCTCTTAATAAGTTTACATCGGCTAATTCAAAACTTAAAATTAACATTTTTTTGTTATGTTAAGTGTCACTAAATACCTGAATAGAATAATGCAACGTGTATTTAATTTAATTTAATTTAACCAAAGCAATTGGGAAAAATAAACAAATGTTATAATCCATTCACATTAATATCATCATTCAGATGATTGCCGCAAATGTTGAATGTATCATAATTTAGCAGAACATATCATATCAGAGAAGAGAGCATATCATTGTTATCAGAAATTATGTTTATTATGTCATCAGAAATATGATTATGTTGAAATGTTATCTCTTAGAAAATTAAATAGAAACAATAAGAGAGAGAAGAAAAGAAATTCCTTCTTCTACATTTTTAATACTTTTATATTTGAGTGAAAAATATTTCTCTTTAAAACAATCAAATTTACAATTGATTTACCTGAAATTAATTTCGTAATTAATATCAAAAGTAAAAACAAAAAAAAAACCACTTAAAACAGTATAGCTAAATAATTTTAGATAAAATGATTTATTAAAAATTAATAGTACTAATTAAAAAAAAAAATGCATTACTATTATCTGTCACTTAGAAGTATAAATAAAAATAGCAATCATTCATAAACTTGATTAGATGAGATTTAACATAGATCAACAACACATTCCAACCTCCGTTCTTTTTCCTTCTATCTATCATCATTATGCATTGATGAATTATCTATCAATGTTAACATTAAATTTAAAAACCAGTTATGGACATACGACACGATGATTTTGAATTCAATAAGAGGAAATGAAAAAGTACTTCTCATACGTAATAACATCTTAAAGATATATTTAATAAATTTAGCTCATTAATTTATTCTTATATGCTTTTAACAATTTTGGTGTTTATTGTTTTTCCCCTCTTAAAATATTAAAATTTAACAGTTGTAATATTACAAAGCTGCAAAATCATATATTGTATAGGATGATTAATTTTAGAATATAAAAGATATTTTAATATATGAAAAAGTTCATATTCAAAATATAAATTGGCGCAAAAGTAGCTACACTTTTGCGCTATTGAAATTTTGCTTGTTGTTATTCGAAGGCATTATTAAATAAGTATACCGGAATTATATAACATTTTTATACGACATTTATTGTAGTGAAATAAATGAGAAGTTTTGTTGACAGTTTTTATTGAAAAAATAATTACTCAAAATTAAAACAATGAAACTTAAAATCTTTGTTTTATTTTAAATGATCAGTTTGCTGTTGTATTAACTTTTCTTCCAATCACTTTAAAAGGTATATTTTGCTTTAGATGTATATGATCATTAAAAAGTAATTAATAATTAAGAGATATTTGTGCAATATCTTTATAATTATCTTTTATTAAGATAATTCATTGCTAAAAATTAATTACTTTAAGACAAAGAAGAAGTTTCAAACTCTTTTACTACAAAATTTTAATAGATGATTGAAAAAACTTCAATAAATTATAATGAAGAGATTAAAATAAGGAATGAATAAAGAGATATTCTTGTTGCTCATCGCTATCGAAAAATTTTTCCCCTCTACATTAATGTAATGTAAATGATTTATAGGACAAGTATTTGATGAAAGATTCGCGGGGGTATTTTGCGCATTTACTTGAAGAATGGATTCAGTAATCATTAACATCAATCAAATCAATCATTATTATATAAGCAATTACTGAAAATTAAACTTTAAAAAATGAAGGCTTGAAATTTGTGATATTAGAATGAGAGAAATAAGAATGTATGATATCACTGTTAGTCTGAAATTAAAATTCAAGACTGAATGATGAAATCTAAAATGATATTAGAAGTAGCATTACAATAAGTGCTAAATGTTGACAGAAAGTTTGAAATTGAATTCTAGAAGGTAATCAGAAAGAAATGATAAGGTCATCTATTTTCTCGTGAAAGGTGAAATAATTCGAAAAGTTTTATTATAAATCATTTTCGATGAATAGCTTAAGTATTTAACAAATAAAGCTTAGAGACACTAAAACTGAAGCCAAATGAAATATTCCAAATTAAAATTAAGATATCAATGCTATTGTTTTCCATCTTCTCTTATTTCCTATGCCTTCTTCTGCTTAACTTGTATAAAAGTCAAATTTGAAAATGAAATTAAATTTGTGAAAATCTTAACAAGTTCCATACCTTAGTATCAATTAAAATTAGAATTAGCGTGTATTTGTTGAAACTTAAAACTTAAAGTATAATAAACCTAAATGCTATGAGTCTAATTATAACTTTGATATTATTAACAACTCTTTCAAGATTATAACTGGTGATACGATCTGCCGAACAACAATTGCTAATATTCATTTGATGGCTTAATGAATTTCAATGATAAAGCATTGGGAGAATTTCAATACATTCTTAAATACATTCTTAAAGAGTGATTAAATAAAATTTTTCGAATAAACACAAATATAAAGGTAAGAAAAGAATTTGACTAACAGAAATGGAAATAAAATACACAGTTGAAGGAAATTTTTTTTAATTAAAAATTAGGAAAATTTCTCTTTCATTCTTACCGCTATAACAAGTTTACAAATATTTGAAAAGTTTATTAATTAAACATTTATTCAGGTATTTCGATTTCTAATTTCATTAACATAATATATTGTGTATGTGCTAAAAATACGGCAAATTTTATTTAAAATAAATTCGGGAAAAAAAGGAGTTATTTCAAAAAGTTTTCTAAGAATTGAAACTAATTGCTTATCTATCGAAAATCAGTGAAGATTGTCTTTTCTTCGCAAGGCCACCGAAGAAATTATAATTGCAATCCATCGTTTTGCCACGAAGTTGTTAATTTTCCTTATGATGAAAATATTTCTAATCTGTTCCTCTTAATTAATTTTAAATCTTATTTACTCATTATCCTTTTCCTGTTTTAGGCTATTTAACAGTATATTTCCAATTGAACTTGATTGCTAAATGAATAAGAAAGGGTTGTTTATTTGACAAAATAAGGATTAAAATTTATAAATATGCTTCTTCATTTGACATTATCAGTTGGTATGAAATCTTTCAAATATAAAATTGAAATAGATAATTGATAAAATGGAAATGATTAGAGGATGACTAATAGTAATCATAACTATCTGAGATTTCCTTCGCCAATGTTTGAATAATAAATCCAACCGTTTCACATTTATTTTTACAGCAGCATAATAAATGATTTTCTTGAAAATACTCTGTATCTTCGACCCTTGCAAAACATGCATTTTCTAAGGCTTTTATTTCGGTACAGAATATGCGATCATCTGAAAATTTTTCAATAATCAATGTAGTTTTTGCGAACATAAAAACAAATGCTTAATTAAATTGAAATTTTATATCATAAATTAAATTAATCAAATTTGCAAAAAAATAATTTTGAATCCTTTACTTGGAGAATACATATCAATTAATTCTAATAATGGAATCTGATTCCTCAAATTTTTACTAATAAATGAAGTATATTCGATTACGTACTTAATAATGATGAATAAATTAAAAGCTAAAAATAATATGTTACTTAAAGATTTAAATAAATAAATAGATATTCTACTAAGAATGTATCAACTTCTATCATCCGTAATTTCGAATAATTTTGGTTCTAAAATTTAAAAACAATCGAAAAGGCAACTTCTTCTAAACTATCCGATTGCTTAATTTCATTTTTATACAATACAAATTTTGTGAAAGATTTTAATTAATTTAATTGGCTTAAAATAATTTTAATTTCCACTAAATATTGATTATTATTTGAATTGTTTTTATTTAACAGCAAAAGAAATTATTTTTCGAAGAATTTAATTTTAGGTCATTCTGATACACAGTGGTACTTTATGAAAATTAAATTTTACAGTTGAATGTTAAAACAAAAAACTAACCATTGGTTTCCCATACTTTTCGTTTTGAATGAGCACATTTTCCACTTGTTATAACATCTTCATTTTCCACTACGCTAAGTTATCACTTTTATTACTTAATTAAACTTACTATAGAAATGACTATATTAGATTGATTTGTACAATTTTAACTCTTTATGAGCATCAAAAAAATTAGTTAAGAAACAAACACAAAAGACTGTAATGAAATCTTTATGAAAACTTAGTTCAGATCTCTCTACTACTTTTCATCAAATGAATACATTTAAAAGAGAAGCTATCAATGTATGATTCACCTGCAGCTATAACTTAACTTCAATAACACTTACATTATATAATTATGTTTAAAAACATTTTTTGAAATGATCCAAGAAATAAACGACTGACGTAGAAATGAATGCACACATATAATAAGAGATAACAAAGCTTACTGTCAATATCTAAAGTACCATAAATATTAGGAGAATGACACCATGTTTCTCCTTTCCGTACCAAATGATCTGATAATCTGTTCGGATATTCCTTCCGAATCTGAAATTTGCCAATTCTTTCTTTGAATTTGGTGAAATAAATATTTTGCTTGATTAAAAGCAAATATCTGAGTTATGATAAAAGTAACAGCTGAAAAATTGAATTCAATAAAAGGTACAAAGTTTGGCTTTCCAAGCAAAGAACAAATTTGATTGCTGGAACTAAGCAATTCAAGAAGATTCCGCTTCTTTTTGGCATACCTTAAAATCAACTTCTTGCTTCATCAAAATTTTCTGCAATTTCATTCTTTCCCAAACATATTCATTGCATGCATCGTCATAATTACTATACGAACGACAAAAACAATATACTTGTCCTTTCCGAATTGAAGCACAAAGCGATGATGTCGATCCTGTCCTTAAATATGTTCATTTTAGAGTTAACAATTTAGAAGCAAAAGTATGAGTAATGGGACATCTGTGCAATTATTGATGTAAATACATGAGTTTGTTCCGGACAGTCGGATCAGGCCCGTTTCTATAAGCATTCTTGGGTGCTATCTCAGGCAAAATGCTTAGTCTTTCCGCATTTACCAACAATTATGCATACATCTATTTAAGGTGGATAAATTAATGTCCACTCCAAGCAGCCTCATTAACTTACTCAAGCCACATAGCATATGCTATATGATCCAAATATTTTTCAGCGTTATTAGCTATTTTATGCGTCACTTCACCAGCTGACACATAAAATTTCATTCCTGAAAAAATAAAGTTAAACTTGTAATCTTTTCATTTCAAAATACATATATAATTGAAATCCAATGCATATTACAACAACGTTCAGATTTCTTTAACTCTAACCAATTTATAAGAATAATTTCAAAAAATGAGAATGCAGTGAAATCATTTTACAGTTCTGCAAACATGAAACCAATATATCTATGTCTAGGTCTAACAGGCCTAACAGAGTTCAAAATGAAACCCTTAAATTATTACTTTTTACAATTAAAGCTGTAATTAAAGTAGAGGAACACTTTTCCATTACCTCATAAATATCTGTCATTCATTCCCTCTTCAACATTTTCATCTGTCATTTTCAATCCTGTTGACTTATTCCTTTATCTTAGTATTAATACAAGAACCAATCAAGTAGAACAGATACCGCTTTTATTTATTTTTAAAGTCATTTCGGTGTAACAGTAAGATGTATAGGTGAGAAACATTCTTCTCACTCCATGCGTTATACTTTGAAGTTCCTGTTGATCATAATGCATACATTGTGTTAAATTTATTATGGGCTAAAATTTTCAATTTTATTTATGAAGAGTTGAATTGCTAGATTAAGCTGGCTAATACCTCTTCACAAATAATTATCTTTAATACCTCTTCACAAATAATTATCTCATTGTTTAGAAATATTCTTAAAATGTTATTAATAATTTATACACTTTCGTTTTTCTTAAGACTCCTTATTTAACTATGATCTCATTATATCATTTGCTTTAACAGTAGTTTATCCTGCTAATGACAAATTGAGCCCTATCAATAAAAAATAACTTTATGGGTACAACACAGTGATAATCTTTTTGATGTATTTATCTCACTCTAATGATATTGCTGGTTCATATTTTTGGATATTTTGTCTTAAACGAAACCTTTTTTGTTTCATATTTAAGAAGGCTGTTTATTGCTAACCCAATTTCTAGCTAAATGCTGTATTTTTGTTGAAAGCTTTTCGTCACATGGTACGTTGGAGTTAATTTTCGTGCGACAACGGCATGCAAAAATTTTCAGCGGCATATAGTGCGTTTCAAACACTGCTGCTTCCCGACAAGATCGTGCATTTGTATAATTAAAGTTTACCTGAAAAAGAGTTTAAATAAAACCAATTAATTTTTTCCAGATGATCAAATTGATTTTCTCGAAGAAATAATTTAAGAAAAAGAAACTTTATCCACTTACTTCTACTTCAACGTAACGACATTTTCCGTCTTCCAACAATGCATATGAGAAGTCGATTGGATAAAATGCACTGCCTGTAGATTAAAAAAGCTGATTTTAATATGATTATTATTTATATCAGCTGATTTTAAAATATCTCAGCTACCATGTTCCGGCAGACACATGAAGCAAGCAATGTATTGATTTCACTCATCCTGAACTGCAGATGCTTTCTTGTATTATCAGGGAAGGATAATTCATATGAGTAAAAGTTAGGTAAAATGATTCTCGTTCGGAATTATTCTTTAGCTACTTCCCCAACATTTACTTTGATGACAGTCTTTTGCTGCAATCACAGAGATAATTTCCGGTAGTTCTAGCATATTATTCGTTTTGATTGGTCACTTCATAATTTATTTTTTAAAAGATTTAATTTTATTTTATGTATTTTACTGGAATATAAAATGAAATTTAATAGTTAAGAAAATGTCATGAAATAACTGATCAAGTTTTCAGGATGACAATTGCTGTGAAGATAATTTCAACTAACCTGGCGGTTGAAATAAAATGAAGCCTTTGCTCGACAAATGAGAATCCGTAGCCGACAGAATGTTATTATTATCAATATAATGTAATAAGCATGATCTTGATGGTAGTTTATCAATTAGAATTAAATCATTGAACAAATATTGATATTGAGAATTATATTTACAGTAGTAAAACGTTTTATTAGCATTCAATTTGTTCAATATTAAACCCTGCAAAATTAAACTAATTGCCTTAATACCAGAATAAAGCATAAGTTTAAAAAAATAGCGCGAAGCCTTAATTAAACGATTTCCAATCTCCGATGAATTTAATAGTGAATAGATGAAACTAAAGACTGTTGCTGTTGCTTAAAGGAAGTCGTCTATCGTTACCGATACTTTCTGTTTTTTCTACTCAAATGAATATGTGAAGAAATTTGTAGAAAATTCTATGAGCAAACATAGTATCATCATATTTGGAAAAGAAGAACTAACGTTATAATTGCAAAATGTTTGATGATTACAACAACACAATGCTTCAAAATGATTTGTTACTAAGGGAGCATTCATTCGACATATATCCATTAATGCTATAAATTTCATTAAACCCATCAACTTTTCATAGAATTCCATTTATTAATCCAATTCTTATAAATTATAATAGAATCTATTTTCAACGCCAACTTCTGAATTTCTTTTAAGTTAAAAATTGAGATAAATTCGTCGTATCATTTATTCACTATGTAATTTTGTGTCCTATAAAAATCACGAACTTTAAATTTAGTTTAAAACATTCTAAATTAGACATCTTTTTAACAATATTGACACTTACGTACTAACTGAATACATCGTATCTTAACAATATCTAATAAACGAATATCCCAATTAGCATAATAATGGCATCCAACATCTATTTCACCATTAAGAATATTATAGTAAGGTTTGTTGGCTTGAAATTCGTCTATCGACAAATAGTATTTATGTTGCATGTTTGAAATTTCGAGATACAATGGGCAGTACTGCAAATGAAACAAGTTCAAAATAATGCACTGATTTTTTTGATCAAGAACTTTTCGTATATTTCGTTCATAGAACGATCTTCTATTGATAAGAGTTAAATTCAATTATCAATGAACAAGTGATACAACTTTTCATATATTTTTCGACTAAAATCAAATCAATTATCAGCAACCTAAATGTATGGGTTAAGTCAGAAAAAATTGCATGAAAATGAATTCAGGCTAAAATATGAAATTAGCAGTTTTATTTAGGTTCAACAAATTGCCACATCAATGCAGCCAGTCTAATTTGTTCAAAGAGGTAAACAAGAAAATGAAAATGAAAGAAATGAATGGACAAGGTAAGAATAGAATGGACGATATAAGAGATCCATTCAAATCAAACAGATATTGAAGAAAACTGTAACAAAAAAAGATTAAACAAAAAGTTACACTTCTGGTACGTGTTCCATCCAAAATATCTTCCGCTCTACCTCGGAGTGTAACTTTCTTCGTTTCACTATCATATTTATAGGTATATCTTGTATTGTTACGATCGGAAATGGCACATACCATAAATTCGTTGTAAGCTGTCATCTGTCCAGTGCCTACTAATATACTGTTTGAAATTTGATCTGAAAAATGAAAAATTTTAATTTTTAAACAAACTTAATTTTAAATAGCAAAATTGAGAATTATCCCTTAAATATATCTACCTTGACAATTGCCAATGAAATCACCATAACAACAACATTCATAACCATATTCATCATATGTCATCCAGACGATACATTCATTATCTTCCTGTAAAACTTTATCTTTCTTCTTCACTAAATATCAGTATTGATCACTTCGATAATTCAATATTTTCCTTTGTTTTATTTCGAATAGCAAATTTTATTCGATAACATTTATAAAGTTAAAATATGATAAAAATTTTAAAAATTCGAACTTATATTCAAAGATTAAATAAAACTAACCTGTGAGGTATGTTGATTTCTACATTGTAGTTCTTTCATATATCGCATTTCTGCAGCACTATACGGTCCCAGACGAATAATTTCATGAGCCATTCGATTACGTATTTGCATAATTTGTCGTTCATATAAACTGTTCCGTTCGAAAATATCACTAGCAGTTATAAAGCATACATTGTTATTGGTTGCTATTGGAACCTTAATATTAAAGGGATTTCGAAAATCCTTGTTGTACCAATAATGAAGTGGTTTAAGAGAGATTTCGTGGATGTTTTATTATCGGTAAAATATAGCAATTACGTTAAATAAAATTTTGAAATCAATATAATCAATAATTCGGGACTTTTTAAAAATTTTGAAACATAAGAAACTTGTTTCTTTAAAAGATTCAAAATTAAATTGAACGTACTTTTTCAAAGTTCTTTGTGTTGCATGTTTTTATGGAAACATTAATTTTAGGCATTCGATTACTTATACTATAACTTTCATCAATATAAGATTCAATATCATCATTATAATCGGTAACTTCATAAAGTACATAGTTTTTTATCAAACTATACTGATGACGGAGTAAGAATTGAAGTTTCAGATTGATTCGCCATTGTTCCACTGTTTTAGCTATCGGACATGGCTTACAACAAAGCAAGAAAATATCTTTATAACTATTTGCTGTTGTCTGCAAACATTTTGTTATCAAAAAATTTGAAAAGAATTATACTTTCTAAAAATGCATTCAGTGCATAAACCAAAAAAACAATATACTAATTAATTAGTAGCAAAAAGTAAATAATATCGAACTATAAATAAAATCATCATTAATTAGTGTAACAAATTATCCATAGGGTAAGTAAATCAGTTAATCTAAATTCCTTAGAAAACGAATTTAACTATTGACTAGAAGTTTTTATTTGATTTCACATTTAAAAGTTCTTCATTACCATAAGCCATGCTGCATAGTATAAAGTATTGTATTGAGCATTCTGTTGTGCATAAATGCCCAAATCATCACAAAGTGGTTGAGCGGCTTTTACAAATTCTTTATATGTTATATCGTGCTGATGCCATGGATAATTTGGATCATTAAAATATAAGATGTCGCCAAAGCCTATCTGATTGTGATAATATTTAATTCCATAAATGCAATAGTTATAAATTGGTCTAAAATGTGGCCTAATTTATCGATCCATAAAAAATTATTTCAAAAAAAAAGAACATAAATAATATAATCAAAAAGCTATAACTTATATGATTTTATTATTCGGAAACAATACACAACCATAGGATATCCATTCAACTGATCAACAATGTTAAAATATCAACAAACTATGATTTATTATATAGCTTTTGTTAATTTGAAGCAACATATAGTACAAGCTAAGCTAATCAACTCACGTAATCAAAAACGTCAAATCACATGTAGTTGTTACGTATCTCACGCTACTTTTTACATTTTAAACGTTGTGTATAGGGAAAAGCGTAAATTAACTTAATATAATATATTATCTGTTTATCTATTCAGGTATGTTACTGCCAAGGCTTCTTATCAAAAGTGATTTCACCTTTATCTTATCAAAGGGTTTTTTTTATCTTATCAACTGAATACTATATATATATGAGATATTTTATGTGTGTATGTTTACTTATCTACACTGATTTATCTTATTTCATTTGCTGGTTTATGAAATAGAAATATCGTCTGTTATATCTTCGAAAAACTTAGACAAGAAATTTCATGACATGCAATGATTTCAAGTCATCAGTATCTCTCTACATTTTTGATTCTTAATTAGACATGCTGAATCAATTTACATTTGAATGTTTAGAATATTCAATATAACGTGCCTGAATTTATTGAATTTCCTACAAATCATTATCATCAAAATTAATTAAGCCTAAAAATTCAATTGATGTCATTCCTTGATTATGCATGTTTCATCTATTGATTGCTTATTCTCATAATCACAATGATATCTTATCAGCAGAGATTTTATGATAATAATTTTTAAAAAAATGAATTAAAACAAAAATTGACTCATATATTGTAGCTTTAACTGGATTGAAACATTTCGCTGGAATATTGGAAAAATTCATTGTTGTTGTTATTATTGTTAATGTTGTTGCTTTTGCTGTTGTTGTTGTTGTTGTTGTTATTAAGGATTTTTGAGATGCTTTAATTTTGTCATATGAACACTAAATAGGCTTAAACATTAAGGTAACGGCTTTGGAAATATAGGTAGGCTTTTTTTTTTGCTTTATTTGTAATTATTTGAAACAATATCTCGTTGACCTTTGACCAATATAGCTTTGAAGAAATTATTTGCTGATTCGTATATCGAAAATGTTGAAAATGTTCTGTGGAAAATGCAAAAAATTAGTCGAAATTTTTATCACGAAATATTATTTAGTTTTCGGAAATATTGTTTATAACATTCTCATGTTTGTTTACTGGTTAATTTTTGGTTAAGATTAAATTAATTTAGTAACTGGTCATGAAGACTTAAAATATAAGCCTAATATTAACATTTGTAAAAACAAATCGATTTTAGAAATTTTTATTTAGATTAGAAAGATTAGTTTTTAAGCTTACTAGTTACATTAATTTGCTTAATTATTTTTGATTAATTGGTTAAATAGTTTCTTAAAAATTAATATAATTAGAAGTTGAAATCTTTTTTTTTTGTTTTGCATAATTGCAATATTTGGAATAGATAATTTGGTAGGTAAAATACTAACAGTAGTTGTTAATAATATAAGGTAGCATTGAATTGCTATTGCGATACTTTGATACATTCTAAAGGAAAACAACCTTTCCAGCAAGTCGTAAAATATATTTCTCACTTTCATAACGAATGTTTCCACCTTTTATAATTTCTTGGTCTATTTGCATAAGTTTAAATTTCAAGAACAAAAGCTAATTAAATCTAAAGAAGATTGGATAAATTTGGCTAAGCGTCACTGAAAGTGATAATGATTAATGTAAGAATAAAAATTGTGATAATCATGAAATTTTAAAACGATAAAAAAAAGAGTATGTAAATGTGACATTGAGAAGAGAATATGTATTTTTTAACTATTCCTCTGAGAATCAACATGACCTTAATTTTTGCTACAAAGATTGAATTATGAGGACAAAGTTATTGATTCACAAAGGAATTGTTAAATTTAATCTAAGTCTGTTGTTTTCCCATAGTTAATTAAAATTTTCAAATTTAATCTATTTTAATTAGATAAATTGATCGTATATCAAATTTTACACATCGATCTATTATAAATATAATTGAATTATGAGGACGAAGTTATTCCCTTTTATAAAGATTGCTTATGGATTTAGTTTGATGAAGCAATAAAGGGTCAAATTAAGTGCGAAATCACTTAAGTTCTCTTCCATAAAGTGGACATAAATTATAGATTAAGAGATGGAGAGATTATCTGAAAGATATACTTTACTACTTCACTTTTTAAATATTATTCTAAATAATAATATTCTCAAATATTTCGCATACATAGGTATATTCTTCTTCCATATTCTTGCAATCGATTTTTCAATACATCTTCTAAAATTTTAATTTTTAAAATATTTAATTGATAAGCATATTTTAATTGATAAGCGATTTTAATTGATTTAATTGATAAGCGATTTTAATTGATTTAATTGATAAGCGCATTTTTTTTTTAATCGTATGATATCAACGATCGATAAGCGTATTTTTTTATCAAATGATGATATCATGTTCAATTTCAAAAGAAATGAACTAGGATAATATTTGAAATATCAAATGAAAATTTTAATGCTTTAGAAATAATCGAAATGTCAAAATATTATTGCAAGAGGAATTTGTAATTTTTAAAATTTTAAAATCAATAAAATGTATAAGAGATGTATATAAGGATGCTATCAATATCCTCAAAATAAAATGATAAGGAAAAAGTGATAGAATTCAAAAAAGAAAGAAAGAGAGTATTTTAGAAATCTTAAATTCTTATTTTTCCAACTATTATCGCTAACAAATGATGTCGTCTTTTTACCTATCCAATCTAATGCCTCTCCGTTCATGCATTATTATTATTCGGAATTGGATTGTAAGAAACCGGAAGAAATCGATGATTTTGTGAATGCAAATTTTTATGATAGAACTATTTCTCTTGTTTTTTTTTTAATGCTGATAATGAATGTGTCGTTTTTTGTAGTTAGCACTTTCGTGTGAAATGTTGCACTGAATCGATCGATGGTGACAGCTTAATAAATCTAACAAATTATTCCACATCTTTCGGCATCAATGCCATTGCTAGTTGATACTAGAAAAGTTTTGCATCAAATTTCAAATACTTGTTTCTATCCAAAAACAAACATTCATATTTTTTTCACTTCATCGTAAAATTTCTTTCATTTTCAATCTTTTATATCTGATCTCTTCTACAAAATCAATTACAACGATCAAACATTTTTAATTATTCTAATATTAATCTCGAATTGTTGAATAACGACAAACTTTTGCAAACACAATTAGTGATGGGAAGTGAAAATTTCTGGAATGGATCATTAGTTCTTTTGTAACATATAATTGTTGAAGAAATATGGAAAATCTAACAATTCAAGAATTAATTATTTTCTTAAATTTTGAAATTAACATTAATTTGTTTTTTTTTCCACGCCAGAATATTTTCAAAGTTTTAAAACGTTTTGAAATATTTATGTGTCTTCTAAGAAATTAACTCTTAAATTGAAATTACAAAAAGTACATTTTGCAATCATACAAATTAGCAAAGGAATGATTGTTGCTATTGTTGTTGTTGAATTATTGCATTCTTCTTCAAGCCAACATCAATCAGGTAGAGTGTTGAATATTTTCTTATTTCGTCATAGTTTCATTGGATTTCATCGGAACAATTCCTAGACTAGAAAGTGCTTAAGAATATATATATATATATAATACACAGATATGTATCATAAACTTTTTTTTTCAAATTCGGAAACAATTTTAATCATTAAAATACTAAAAATGGTTAAGATATTTCTTTGTAGAATGATTTTTTGATTGAATAAAATAATTCATCATCCTTTATCTTCTTGCTATTTACAACTATCGAATGAATTATTATCAAAAAGTAGTCGCCAATATATTTTTTCCGCAATGCGTTAAAATATTCGATAATTAAAGAGTGTAAAATATGCACATCAATTCTAGAGTAACTGGAATTTAATTACATATGTTATACCTGCCATTCTCATTAATGCCATACCTGCAATTCTCATTAACTATTCATACAATTGCTTCATTTAACTGCACGCAATTTAAAGTGTTCCGTTCAATTTTCTATTGCATTCATTATCATGATAAAGATTTCAATTTTATTTTAGTAGCTATATGACATTTTAAGAGTGCATAATATGCAATTTTTAAAATGCGCTCAATAAAGTATTATTATACTTTGAAGGAAACCAAACTAATCTTTTCTTATTTTATAGAATGTACTCTCAGAGAAATTCTCTCTCTCTCTCTCTCTCTCTCTTTCTTTTGCTATTTCCATTAATGTTCCTTTTCATCAGTTTTTTCAAAGATTACATCAACACATTATAAAATTGCTGTTAAAGTACTTATAATATTTCTTTACATTTCAGTTCATTCAATATTTTCATTTATACTCATAATACTTCTCGAAATTTCACTTCAATATTTTCATTTATATTCCAAACTATTTTTATAAATTTTAAATTTATTATTTGAAAGAATGATAAAAGGCAATAATATAATTTATGCTTATAAAGCAGTAGTAATTTAACTATAGAATTATTATCCGGATATTCGACGATTTTCTAATGGTTCAGTATTTCTTCACCAACAATAAACAACAACATTGATTGGCAAAGTAAAGAAAGAGATCGTTAGAGAGAGCTTAAAGCTGCCTACATATGATGCGCACTATTTCATGCGATCCGTTGCTATTCCATGCATTGATATGAGCAACTTTCATTTCTTATAAACGATTCCTTAAATTTCACATCCATTTCAATAATTTTCGTTTTTTTAACTTCCTTCGAAGTAATTTCAATCAATTTTTAACGATGCTTACATATTTGATGAATTTCAATATGATTATAAAATCTATTCATTAGCTACTTTGAATTCGAGAATGGAAATGGATAATTTATAAAAAAGTTTATCTCCTAAATTCATTCGAACATATCAAATGTTCGTTACATTATAAGAGATAATAGATTTAAATATGAAGATAATTAGAGCAAATTGCTCTAGCGGATGAATTTGGAAGATAAAACGCATTAAATCTATCGGATAATTGCATGAAACGAGAATAGAATCTTAAATAGGAAAATTTCCGGAGAGTGAAATCAGGTTAATTTACGTTATGAAGAACGTGGAAGACTAGCTGTCTACAAAATAGCGGGATAAGCTTTAAGAAAATGTATTATGATCTGGTAAAGTGTGAGTGCAAATGAAAGGTCAGAGTACTCTCAAGATGACAATCTCAATGAAGATAAGCGATCCAAATGTAAAAGTGAAGAAGTTTCGACTTGATAATATGGAAGATATTTGATGATAAATCACTTTTAATAATATTTCTGAATTCTATTATTAAATTGATCGTACCAATCAAAACTATCATAGCTTAAAGATTGATTATAGAAATTTGTTAATCCTTAAATCAAGAAAGTGAAAATGCAAAATTTTTCAATTTTTCCAATCCACATTATTCATCTTTCTTTCTTCTTATTATTATTATTATTTATTACTATTATCATTAATTATCATTATTATTATTTATTACTGTCATCATTAATTATCACTATTATTATTATTATTAATATTATTATTATTAAAATTATTATTAATAGTAATATTATTATTATACTATTATTATTAATATTATTACTATTATTACTATTATCATTATTTATTGTTATAATTACTATCATGATTAATTATTATTAATACTTTGTACCATCAATTAGACAAAAAAATGAAACATTGCAACAAACAATTCCTATAATATATGCTCGTTCAATCCTATTTACGATATTTATAAAATATTTGAAATAGTTCAATTCTTTCGAACAAATTTATGAAAAGATCAAAAATTAAGCCTATAAAATACAATTATTCATTTCAATAACGATATAAATGAAAACATAATAAATTACGAATGCAAAAAAAAATTATTAATTAATTTAAAAAAATAATAATTTCATCTTTGATTTTTTTTTCCTTTTCAAATTTATAAGAAATTTTTTTACAGAAAAAGAATTTCATAAAATTTATGAAAAGAATTGACAAATAATCATTAAGGGTACATTCTGTCAGATCGCACTTTATTGCCAGCTCTTTTTCCTTCCCTATTTTTATAAATTTCAAAATTTATTTAATTTCCTTTCTTATATTGTATAGCTCGATTTGGTCTATTTTGACTTAACAATTTTTCAATCATTTCATACAAATTGCTTAGTCATTTCTTTTTCTTCGTTCAGTTAATTGATATTCAAAACAAAATTTTCTCATCTACATTGAATTATTTGAAGGTGTAGAATATTTGAGTGAAAGGATAGAATTCATTTGTTTTTGCTTTAATAGAAAACTTTTTGAAATAAGAAATAATATTTTGGAAATCGTATGATATGTATGTGATAATGTTTATAATGATTAATTAGATTAATAATATCAATAATTGGAAATTTAAATATTCTATTTTAAATTAATACATTATCAATATCAATAATTCGAAATTTAAATATTCTATTTTAAATTATAACTTTGAAATAGCTAACATTTTTTTTTAAATGATTCAAAATATTTGATATTTAGAATTTCGAAATATGATAATCTTATTACCGTTCTCTTTCTCTCTTTTTCTCTCTCTCTCTTTCTCTCTCTCATTTGATTAATAACAAAAAAAAAAAAAAAATTATTACCTACAATTTAAAAGAAAAGAATTATTATTCCTAATTGACATAATTTTCATTCTACCTTATTTACCGTATAACTTTATTTTCTTCAAATAATACCTTTTCATGTCAAAAAAATCATCTCATTGATTTGATAGATTTTTCTGGAAGAAATATTATCAAAGATTTTATAATCGAATTATTTTTCTTTTCTACCTGTAATTAGCCTAAATTAAAACTAAATTAGAAATTATCATAAAATCAACCAAAATTCACCGTAAGAATGATTTAAAAATTGATTTGCAAAATATTTATGCTCATTTGTTGTCGAAGAAAAGAAAAGTTATCGAAATGCTACTCCATTCTAATTCGAAATACCAAACTTATTTATTTATTTATTTTATTACTATTTGTTTATATTTACAAAAATTACCAATTAGCTATTATTTCCACAATTACTGTAATTAATTAATTTCTTAAAAAAAGAAAAAATTAAATTTCCATTTCTTTTTCTTTCTTTTGATGATTTTTCAAAGAATTTCAAAATAATTATTTCTTCGTGAAAAATTTGTTAAAATTAAAAGTGAAAAGAATTATCCATTGATAGTGGTAAACAACAATCTATGAGTGATAGCATGTATTTGTAATAGATTTTCGAGAAATAGCGAAATAGAATTAGTTGCACATATAAAATACAACTATCAATTGAAACGAGGAGCTGTTATGGTAAACATGGAAAATCTTTTTTTTGTTGCCAAAAGAGATGTAATACCATGTAAACGAGAGAATTTATTGTTAAAATTAACTTTTCACCTGTGCGAATAAATACCTTGATTTAACTTTTCACCTGTGCGAATAAATACCGTGATTTAACTTTTCACCTGTGCGAATAAATACCGTGATTTAACTTTTCACCTGTGTGAGTAAATAAATACCTTGATTTATTTTATTTTGCTGATTTTGTTGTGAAAGAATTTGTAATTGATAACTTGGAATTCGTAACTTTTATTTTTCTTGATATTTCAATATTTTTGTAAAACAACGAAATTTCTTTTAGGACAAAATTCAAAACACACACAAAAAAAAAGGTATTATTGAATTGGTGGAAATTAAATTGGGAATGTTTAAATTTGAATATAAAATTGCCAAATAAAATTCAAATGATTCATAATTCATAATTCTATTATTCATTTGAACATTTTGTCGAAAGGTATATAAAAAATAATTCCATTTATTATCAATATTGGACGGTTGTAATCGAAAATTTTTAACTGCTCAAATAATTTGAGAAGAGGTAAGTAACTCAAAAATTATTGTATATTTAAAATATATGAAAATGAACGATTAATTTAATTAATAAATTAGTTAAGATAATGAGCTGGAAAGAAACATATTTATTTATTATTAAATTAGTTATACGTAACGTAACGTATGTAAAAATGTATGAATTTATTTCGAATCTGTTAGATAAAAAATTTATAAGAAATGTTGAATAATTGAAGTTAAAAAATTACGGATATTTTCAATTCATCCATTTTTCATCGATTCACAAAAGTTATATATAAAAACAATAAAGATTAAATTTTCTTAATTAATTTTAATTATAAAGTAAAAAAATTTTTGAAAAATAATTGCACGGAAAGCAATCGATACTTACATATATAACGAATGATATTAATTTTCAAATCTATCGATAATTTAATAGTTTAATTAATTTTATAAAAATTTCCGATAACTTTTATGATTTAAAAATTTTTTTTAAATTATAGAATTGATATATTTTCAGGATGTTTCATGCATGCTGCATTCATGTATATTCTTCAAGAAATAGGAATTTTTCGAAATTTGCAATAATGGAAATTGTTGCAATTAGCTTTGGGATTTTTGCATGTCTCTTAGTTAATGCACAAGCTGTCAAAGAGCCAGATATTGTCGAATTGGCTAAAATAGCTGAAGATTCTTTTAAAAATTCATCCGTAAATGTTTGTGATGAAACAAATACCAATAATTCGTACGTTTATATACTTTTTATAAATAATGATAAATAATTAATAATAATAAATAATATTAAATAATAATAATAATAATAAATAATAATAATAATAATAATGTTGAAATAACACAATATCTTATAGTTGCTTATTGAAATATATATATTATAAAACTTTATATCATTGTGATTACTTGTTCATATTCAGGTTTATTTATTGTTACGGAAGGTTACTAGCAGCAGTGAATGTTCACAATTTATTCCGAGATTCAAAATCTTTCGTGGATATGCCAATGAAATATGATCCTGGTAGAATAAAGTTTTTTAGTATATTAATAAATGATTATCTATTAGTTGAAATTTCATCGAAATTTCATCTACTCATTTTATTAATTTTCATATCTTTTTTGCTTTTCTAAAATTATTGATTAATCATTAAGTTAAAAAACACAAAAGAAAAAGTGAAAGATTAATTGTGAAAGCTTGAAATGTTTTAGAAGTAGTGCAAGCAGAATTTGATCGACGTTTTGGTGAATATGAATTGCATGCTATTAATCCTTCGGCATTGAAAAAATTCGTTGATGAATATTTCGAACCATCTGGAAACGAATTGGAAGAATGTGAATTATCAGAATGGCAAGAACATCCACCGAAGTTAATGAAGATTCAGGATTCATCGTTACGTGATTGGGCATTAAAACTTAATGGAATTTGGAAATTGTTATGTCGTAAAGTACAATACTTTTTAATTAATTTCTAATTGTTAGAGGAATCTGAAAAATGAAAATCCTCAAATTGCGCATTTAAATATAATGTTAAACGTTATTTACTTTATATAGAAAGCATTGACAAAATTAAATATAGCAGATTTTGAAGATCAATAAAAATATTTCATCAATTCTTCAAACAATCTTTATTCTTCACTATTGATATATCTTAATATACCTTAATTGCTACAGATGAAACCAAATGAGAATCCGAATCAAACTTCATTAATTCATGTCCCCGAAGAATTCGTTGTACCAGGTGGACGATTCCGTGAATTCTATTATTGGGATGCGTATTGGATTGTGAAAGGTTTGGTTGCTTGTGGACTTCGGAATACAATCAAAAAAATGATTATCAATTTTATAACTGTTGTGGATAGGTAAATATTTGATTGTTTTCTTATCATTTATCAATCAATCTAAAATAAATTGAGTTTTTTAAGAAAATGAAACTATTACTTTAGCAAACTAATTGGCATTTAAGAATTATTATAATTATTTAAAAGAAATGGCTTTTTGAAAATTTCAAAAATGTCGGATTTTTTTGATTTAAGGTATGGATTTGTTCCAAATGGTGGTCGAATCTATTATCTGGCGCGATCGCAACCACCATTGCTTATCCCTATGGTTTATGAATACTATGAGCTAACACACGACATTGCATTCATAAATGAAATTTTACCCACTCTCATTAAAGAATATGAATTTTGGCAAAATAACAGGTAGTCAAATGTTAGATCTGAAGCTTAGTTCTTGGTAAACTAGAAATAATCTTGATGTTATCAAGAAGATCCCGGGAATTTTTAATATTGGAATATTGAGAAATATTGAAGCAATCCTCATGTGAGATAGAATTTATTTGGTAATAAAACTTAACTCTTAATTTTCATTTCTAAATTTAATATATGAATTGTTTTAATCGAAACTGAAATTCTAGATTTTCCATTTGGATAATATTTTATAGAGATTTATTGAGTTATAGGACTATCAATCTATCGGATAGCAGTGGTAACGCAGTGACGCTTTTCTATTATCATACTAAAAGTAATGTACCACGACCAGAATCATTCCGTGCAGATATCGTACACGCTTCGCGACTTCCAGCACATGAGCGACCAAAATTTTATATGGTTAGTTTCTAAAATACACTTAAAAAAAATAGTTTCTAAAGTTGCCATGATAAAGTTTGGCTTTCAATTTGAAGTTTGATTTTCATTACTTTTCTTAAATACAACTTACAGGATACAGCATCAGCCGCAGAATCTGGATGGGATTTTAGTTCTCGTTGGTTTAGAGATAATCGTAATATTGAAACGATCGAAACAACTGATATTATTCCAGTTGATTTAAATGCTTTTATATGTTGGAATTTGGATATTTTGCAGTATTTACTTAAACATTCAGGTAATATTAGAGTAATTATAGAGGGAAATTGTTTTGCAAGACGAATAGTTAAATTATAGTGAAATTCATATATCATTGGATATATGAAAAAAAAAATGTTGAAAATTTTGAGATATTTCTAAATTAGCAAAAAGAATGCTTGCAAATACTGTTGCAATTTTTGATGTCTTATTTTGCAAGCAAAACAGAGACTATCACCAAGTTATTCTTAAATTGACTAACTTAATTTACTAATTTTAAAGATAATTAGCACGAGTTACTTAGCACGGGGAAAGATTATGATGAACTAGAAAATTTCAGAATCACTATTCTTGCTAGAAGAATATATACATAATAATATTAAGCGAATAGTATTGCTAAATTTCAGAATTGCTTCTTCAGAGCGAATATTAAAATTTGAAGATTAGCTTTATTTGCATTTAATAAATACGTAATTTACATCATGCAAAAATTTTATTTTATAACATCTAACATTCTTTTTCTTATATTTTGTAAATTTTCATTTTATTATTTAGGAAATTTTTTGAAATCAAAAATATTTCGTGACAGACGAGAAACTCTTCGTCATGCAATGCTTCAAATATTCTACAATAATACCGAAGGTGCATGGTTTGATTTTAATATGCGAACCAAATTACACAATGTCAATTTCTATCCATCAATTGTGGTACCATTATTTGGTGAATGTTATCAACCATTAAGTTTATTCAAACCACAAAAAGTCGTCGAATATATGGATGTTTGTTTTTCTTCAAAATTCGTTTTTTCACTTTTTAAAAAAAATGAAATTTGGCTAAAAATGCAAAAATGATGTTAGCAATTGAATTTTCAGATGAATTCATTTAATTTTTCGAATTATTCTTTAAATTTAATTTATTGTATAGCTATTATTATTAAATTTTGTAGAAAATGGGAGCATTCGATTATCCAGGTGGTGTACCAACAAGTCTCATTAAAGATGCTAATCAGCAATGGGATTTTCCAAATGGTTGGGGTCCAATAAATCATATGGTTATTGAGGGAATGAGAAAATCGAAGAATCCTATGGTGCAAGAACAGGTGCTATTGAAATAATATTGCATATATAAAGGCATCGATGTATTGATAATAATATTTTGAATTTGGTTATTTATACGAAAGGTTGTTTTTTTTTTGAAAGCATCGGAAAATATGTTATCGATGTTTAGGCATATCGTTTGGCGAAAAAATGGGTTATGGGTAATTACAAAGTATTTCAGCAAACAAATCACATGTGGGAAAAGGTTAATATTTAAAATCAATATTTAAAATAATCAAATTAAGGAAGATAATTAATTAGAGAATTAAACATTTGCAAATTGTATAGCGGAACTTCGAATTCCGATGAAATTTAGACCAGGTTTTACATGCTGCGAAATTTTCTTCAATATATTTTTCCAAAAAATAAATTTAAAAATGCTCGTCATATTTCTTTTAGTATGATGTCAATGGAAGTGTACCACAACCAGGTAGAGGTGGCGAATATCTTGTCCAGGTAGATGTATTATTGACGATTATATATTCTCAAGCTATCTGAAAAACATGAAAAACCGTTGTACCATAATTCTTTTATAAACCAATAGTTCCTTGGATAAAAGTCTTAATCGAAGAAATTTCATATGCAGAGGTTTCGCTCGCTTTAATTTCTTCACTACTGTTAACATAATTTGAAATCCATATATAAATATCTTGAATGATTTTCAGGATGGCTTTGGGTGGACCAATGGTGTTATTTTAGATCTATTGACAACATATTATGATAGAATGCGCATCGAACAAGGCAATGGAGGTTCGACATCTACCAAACGAATGAGCTTTGAATTCATCATATCTCTTATATCGATAATTATCTCGATATTTTACATGATGCATTGATCTGAAGTTTCTCTAATTTGCAGTACTATTCAGAAACCGAAAGTTACAGTTTGACGATATTAGTAAAACAAGATACCCTTCAAGGGATCTCAAAAATTTTGATTAGAATTATTGCGATTTTGTTCTAAACAAATATGTAAAATTTAGTAAGATTGTTTCAATTAAAGTGTTCTGATGTGATAATGAAGGTACAAATTTAAACATAATATATAAAACACCCAAGAAAAAACGCTTACAAAATTTATATGCAAAAAATTACTATTTTCATTGAAAATGTGATTTTAATTTTCATTGAAAACAAATAATTTCTTTGACATAACGAGGATCAATTTACCGCTGAGTCATATACGAATTTGATAAAGCAAAATATATATAGCAATACTATGCAAGACAACAATGTTTGAAAAACATAGCACAAAATATTTTATTGAATGGTTGACTTAATAATGAATTTGACAACATTCATTGAAACTTTTCGAACTCATAATATCTTATTAAAGTTCTGTTAGTCATTTACCAGGAAAACACCTCATGAAAAAATACAACAAATCCTAAGCCTTTAAGCGTTTGTGATGTATTAAATAGTAGGTACAGAAAACAAATAGACAAACACGGGATACTGCAGTAAATCGACGCCACATTCAAAAATGTTTATGCATCACAAAATGCTAGGAAAATCAGGAAAGTGAATATGTAGCTTCACATATTTCAAGTAAAACCCAGTGCCAATAGAGGATTTCAAAAAGCAGTTTATTTGAGGTACTTACCTCATATAATACATATAATGACAGATAGGGCCTTGAGCAACTATCATTAAAAATTAGGACACTTAAAAATTGTTCGGCAGAATTTTAAAAGGCCTGAAATTTCGGATAACAGTCACAAATAAAAATAATACTCAAAGGGCGTTGTGTTCACTACAGTGTAGAAAATCTAGTTAATTTTTGGAGGAATTTTAATAAATCGAAAAATGCCCCAGCTGATTTCTTAGTATCATTTCAAAAATATTTAAATTGCATACTGGGCGATAAAATAATATAAGTCAAGACATAATAATAGAGTCGAAAAAGTAGAATATAACTGCAAAATATAACTTAGCAGGATATAACTATTTGACATTAAAGACATCTGAAAAAACTGCAGTATAAGTATATTAAAAAAAGATGTAAAAAGGTAGGCAAAATAGAAAAATGTCAAAAAAGCACGGAAATTAATGGCAAATAAATCTTTAGTATGGTTCATAAATCCAAAACAATATTTAAAGAACAGTTACTCATTCAAAGGTCAAGAAATCTGAATTAACCTTATATTATTCTTAGTAAATAATCGAAGAGTTCGTACGTCTCTGCGAAATTAGAAAAAACAGAAGAAAATTAGGCCACCAGTCATCGAAGGTACACAGTTTTTATCGTAATTCGACATAATTTGCTGGAAACAAACCATACTGCCCGTTACAAAGTCCACGCCACCAACCAGCATCAACCTATATGATGTTATTCTGTGCAATACGCATAATATTAATAAAATTTCTAAGAAACAACACATGTAGCTTCGAAGGAAACAAATTAAGAAGCTAATGAAATCAGTTAAATTTTACGCTGTTAAAAAGTTTGTCATTGATAATTTCTAGTCGAAGACAAGACTGAAAAAAGTCTTTATTGAACGAAAAAAAACCTGATCAATATTAGTGATGATATCATCGGGATCAAAGCTGATTTCATCGTCATCCTGTTTCTGATAATCATAAATGGCAACAGCTGTAAGACCTGTAGAACCAAGCGGGTGCGTTGGTGATGAAAGTGGGTCACCTACTACCGCTGTTTTCGATATCTCTCTCTGAAAAGTAAGACCTTCCATAGTGCTATAAGAAACTGCGCATTCTTGAGTGATGCTGAATTAAAGGACTAAAAAGTTGACTGCACAATCGTCAAATAACAATCACAAAAGGCATGAAACTATAAAATATTAAGCTGATAGAAGGAATTGAAAAGAAAAAAGTAATCAAGTAAAAAAAGCTTAAACAACTTTTTAGTCCTTTAATTCAGAATTAGTTAAGAATCCATTAAAAATGAATTCCATTAACTGAAAGTTTAATCTAATAATATAAAGATAATTATAGTTTATAGGAGAATAACACTTCTAAGCTACAAGCCACATTTTTCAATCCAGTAAGCAAAACTTTAATTAACAAAAAACACACCTCTAAAGGAGATGCTTCATGTCTTTCATTATGCGCAATAGTCGTCTCCAATAGCGATTGAGTTACAGGTGTTGGAGACGGTACTGCGTCATCTCCCGGTACTACATCGTATCTATTTCCACTTAACGCTCCTGCTTCAGCTGCCAACGTTTCTATCTGAACAGCTGAGAAAGATACTTCCAGAAAAAGCATCTTTTGAATTACTGACATAAAGATTGGATTGAAGGCAGTAAAAAGAAGCTGAGAATTTAAAATAAATCATAACACAGAGAAATCTTTTCTCTATTACCTCTGAATGAACTGATACGGGTGCAAAATTGTTCCGTAATTCATTGTTCCAGTTCTGAATATTTTCATTCCTTTCGTCACACTGTGGATCGTGACGTTCTATTCCATTGAAAATTTTATTAGGTGAAGGATTGAAAAGTGGCAATTTGACAGGTTGTGGAGAGGATTTTTCTGACGTAACGGAAACATTTTCTGTTTCAGAAAACACGCGCGGCTCAGTGGAAGTCTCGCGTTTAGAAGGCAATCCTGCTATTCCAGGCATTATAGCTACAGCACCAGCTGGAGCACGAGAATGCCGTTTAGGAGCACCTAAAATACCATCGAATTTAATTAAATTTTATGGAATCATAATTTCTAAATCTATATAAAGAACAAACAAGAAAATAACCTCCATTATGATGAAACTGTTCATACTGTCGTATTTCTTCTTGAATTGCTTCTGGATCCATCTGCAATTTCATAATTTTTTAGAAATTAGAGAAGGAAGTTTAAAAACATATTGAAGAGTTTTTCCTAATAATATTCAGGGAGAAAAAACTTGATTTTACGATAATGCTTTCTGTTAATATTCAACATTCCCTGGCCTGAAAATGAAATATTTGAATCTTTCCTATTCAACTTCCATTTTATCCCATATCACTTTTGTTCCTCATGAAATAAAATTCAGTATTCATTTGACCTGTTGCTCTAGTTCTTCACGTCGCTTCCATTCTTCAGCAATCTTTTTCTGTCTTTCTTCTTCTTCTTTCTGCTGTTGTTTACGCAGTTCTTCATCTTCTCGTTTTCGGCGTTCACGTTCCTGCTGCACTTTCTCATCATTCTAAAAAAAATGATATAAACTTGCAGAAGAAAGTGAAATGCAATATGTTACATTATATTAAACTAGGCCAACTAGTTGAACATATTGAAAGCTTCAAGCTTGTTTCGTCAAAATCTTTCAAAGACACACCTCAGTAATTGAAAGTTGTTCAAATTTAGCACGTAGATTCAAGGCTCTTCCTTTTGATGCACCAGACAAGGTATTGCGTTTCGCTGTTTGTTCCTCTGAAAAATCATAACCTATTAGCCTTTATCGTAATGATTACTTAGACACTAAGTTTGCTACAAATCCTAAATCAATTATTGAGTTTTCAGTTGAAATTGTCATAATTATCTCAATTAAATGAATTTATCAGCATTCATGAAATAAAATAAATGCTTGTGTTCATAGGAAGTCCTGTTGATCTGCTCAACTTCTATTAAAAAGCTATGAATAAATGCGAAGATAACGGAATCTTATTAACATTTCAAGATAATATGTAGATTTTAGAGTCTTGCCTTTAGGATAATCCTTCTGGCTTTCGTGTTGAGCAGATTCTTCATGCTGTTGATAACCCACTGCTGATTTATCCTGTCTGTCTTCTTGCAGACCAAAACGACCACCAAAACCTTTTTTGTAATCTAAAATTTAGAAACACTTAAAATAAAATAGAATTATTACAGACATAAGTAGGAAGTTGGAAATTTAATTCATTCACGCCTACCTGTTTGGCTTTCATGTTGTTCTAATTTTTCATAATTATCCCAGCCAACAGCGCTTTTGTCCTTTCTGTCTTCTTGAATACCAAATTTTCCGCCAAACCCTTTTTTATAATCTAAAACTTCTCGAACATTAAAGAAGCAGGTGTTTCAAAAAGAAGTTGGCCAACAAATGCGATCAAAACTTGCTGGAAATTCTAATTTAAAATGTTTCAGGATAGTAAAAGAACTTTTGAAATACCTACCTACTTGACTTTGATGTGTTGCCAACTTTTCGTGTTCTTCCCAGCCAACTGCACTTTTATCTTTACGATCTTCTTGAACACCAAATTTACCACCAAACCCCTTCTTGTAATCTGCAATTTATTAATGATTTGCATAATAAATGCTCCAGAGCATACACAATAAGTGAGAAAATTTTTAAAAACTCTCAAGTGATACCTATTTGGCTTTCATGCTGATGCAGCTTTTCGTGTTCTTCCCAACCATGTGCGCTTTTATCTTTACGGTCTTCCTGAATACCGAATTTCCCGCCAAAGCCTTTCTTGTAATCTATAACCTACTGTTTTTAAATCATTCATAGGTTTTTATGACTTGAAGTTAGAAACTTTTCAATCTATTTTTCAATCCGTGAAATGCAGTAATTTATTAACAAAGTTCATACCTGTTTGGCTTTCATGCTGTGGAAGTTTCTCATGTTCGTCCCAACCAAGTGCGCTCTTATCTTTTCTATCAGTCTCAACTCCGTATTTCCCACCAAAACCTTTCGCATAGTCTAAAAATCGGTGTCGAAATACTAAAATCACAAATAACCGAGTATAGTAAGCTTAAACACATGTTAACATACTTGAAATACATGAAATTAGAATGAATTATTGGAAAATAAAATTTAGAAAGTTCAGAAAGAACAAATTTTCTATAATCCATATTTGGCGTAGAAAAAGTCACAATATTAAATTTATAGTAAAACATTTGAAATGCAAGAAGTTACACTTAAATGATTACAAAACAACAAAAATTAGAAATTTCCGAAAGTTTTCAAAAAAATTTCATGGATGCTATTAATTTTGCATCTTTTCAACGCATTTTAATTCAGACAGTATCTAAAGAAGCGGATAACAAAAGTACAAAAACAGATACTAAAGTTGATTTGGTAAAAAGCAGTTAGCAGCTCCAGAAATCATCCATAATGATTGTGAATCATTCCATAAAGCCCAGTAAAGAACTGAGTCCTGAGTATTATCCTCTTTGAACCAAATGTTGACGAAAATGCCAAATAAACATTTACTGCTTTGCTATCTCTCTCTCCCCCATTTCATGTTGAACTCCTTTTCCCTATCCATTGTTTGTATAAAACCAAAACTTTTTTTTTTGCATGCAACAGGTGTTTTTCGCGTCATGTCAACTGCTCATTTCTATCAAAATCACTCTCTCGCACAGCATTTTTAAGATAAGATAAGTAGATCTATTTGTAAGCCAAATTAACAAAACGATTGTTTGTGACTTTGGTATTATAACTTTAAAAACCACTTTTCCCCCACATATTTTAGATAAAGATTTGGAATCCGACTGTTCAGGCCCTGAATTAGGCCTGTGAGTCAGTGAGTTATTTTCTTCCCCAACAAAGAGAATAGAAGCAATTAAGTGAAAAAAAAGAATAAAAAAAGTTGAGCAGAAAGAAGAGACAAAAGAACAAAAAAGAAGACAGAAAAGGCACAACTCTCAAGATCTTGGTTACCTGTTTGACTTCCATGTTTAGAAAGGACCAGTTTTTCATCCCAACCAACAGCACTTTTATCTTTTCGGTCTAATTCAACACCATATTTTCCACCAAAACCTTTAGCGTAATCTTTCTGCGATGCATGTTTTTCTACTTTACCGGCATATTCCCATGTTTTGGCACACTGCAAAACATCATACTCGTAATATATGAGTAAAGTTTACTGAAATCAGCTCTGTCTACAATCTTATGGTAATGTAATTAACTGCCAATAAAACGGGAGTGAATTCAATAAGTCTGAAACCGAAAATATGAATATAAAAATGGCAAAAACCTTATCCATGCGATCCTTTTGCACACCAAATTTTCCGCCATATCCTTCGCTTGCTTTTGGCATTTCTGCTGCTTTTTTAGCCTAGATTAAAAATGTTGATATGCAAATAGACCTTCTGTCTTACCGAAAACTTCCTGTAGTAGGCTAATTCTTGATTTCGATGTATAACAAGGAGATAAATAAACCACTGCTATATCATAAGAATATTCTTTTTAGTGATAATCAGATAATGAGAAATCAAATAAATCGACCGGAAAATGAATCATCCGAAAGATAAGCATAATGCAAATCAAATAAGTTACTTTTAAAAAAGAGAACAAAATTTACGCTTATTAAGTTGTCGGTTTTAATTACTTCTTTACGTAACTGATCTAGTGAAACTGATTCTTGATGGCCAGATCCTTCAACAGTCTTCGCACCCCAGCGACTCTCTTTTTCACTTACATCATTCTGAAAAAGCTTTAATTTTTACAATGAAACAACAATCCCCATAATCACTATTAGTCCTACATCCTACAGGGCATATATTTATATAAACAATTTCTATGAATCATTCTTGCTAGATGAAGATCTAATCCTATCTTAGGTCAGCCAAATCCTAACTGGCTATGATGTGACTTCATTTTCAGAAGACTTTTTCGATAATAACCCAAAAAGAAACATATATCACTTGTCCTGGCTTATGCATCATACTTCCATCCAGGAATCCATATTTCAACTTACCGACTGATGATAGAGATGAACAACTTCATTTCTTCATAATTTAAAGAAGTGAAATTTCATTTTTTCGATATGAAAATTATTAGAAGATTATAGCTCAAACCGCACACTCTCTGATAAACGTTTGTTTAAATGCTACCTATCATTACACATTCCAAAAGGACAATGAAGTGAAATGGCATGAGATAATCAATGTCAAACTAGTAGCAATTCGGAAAACCTACAATGAAATCTGGATCAGTATCCCAATCGTCTATTTCTTCCTGTTGCTGTTTCAACTTCTCTTTCTGCGTTGGATTCACGGCAATTTGTGCGCGCCACATTGAAACAACAAAGGAATTATGCTCAAATCTGACCTGAAACAATAAAAACAGCAAGTATGAAAGAGAAGATGAGCGAACAAAATATCACTGTAATCATTTCAAACGCACTTCCTTAACTCTTCAACAAGGTGGTATCCGAAAAAAAGGATGCTGACCCCACGTAACAACTACTATGCTAACCACATGAAGATATCGTATGCAAAGATATTAAGGGACCGTTTCGTCTTTTATTTTGTTTTGGATAACTTGGATGGAGCGAATTGCTATAGAATGTCTCAGCTAAACCAATGACTTCCTCAGTAGTTCCGCTTAGATATTTCAGTTGGGGAGTCGATCATAAATAAATTTAGTGGAAGGATTGACAAGCATTTAAAAGAGTTAAAGGCTTGAGGACTTTTGACTAAGTGACACTTACCAAGATATACCTAAATATCCGGGAAATGTAAGAGGAAGCTGATTTACTACATATTTGAGAAATAAAAAGAAAAATATTTGAGAATTAAAAGCTATATTGGATTTAAAAATGGCTCTAAAGAGGTCAATCATTTGAGTAAGCTAAGTACCTTCATAAGACTATTTTTCATTTTATCTCAAACTCCTCTCCGTCTCTTCCCATTCTCTCTCTCTCTCTCTCTCTCTGTCTCCTTCTCGTTCTTTAATTCGATAGAATATGGAGAAATTATTTCGAATGTGAGCGATGATTCATAGTTTGAAATCGATTTCTTCATTTTTTGACCTATTACCCCTTCAGTCGTTAAATTTTCACGAAATCCAAATGATACCAATAAATGTGTAAATGAAAATTTGCATAAAAATTTAAAAGGCGATCACCAGAATTATATAATCGAACATTTGTTCTGCTGAAAACTTCATTAATTTTTTCCTGATAATTTAAATATCAGAAAGATTTTAATCTATGATTTTGTGAAACTTTCCTTTCATTCGAAAATTAAAAGATGTTGAATATTGTAGTAATAATGATGCATGAATTCAACCGATATCATCTCAATGAATATTAATATTTCGCAAGCATGTGTTTTGTAAATCTAGTATTTTAACAAATTCAAATTTTTAAAACTTTTCTAGACTAAAGAATTTGAATTTTACTCTATCTTATCTATAATAGATTTGCTGCTATCAAAATATCATATGCGTTAAATATGAAAAGATCTATTTTGAATTATTAGTACCTTTTTAACACTCCAGCTTCTTTTTCATTACCATATTAGAAATAACTTCTCAGCAATGCCTCTTTGATACTAGTAATACCCGTAACTAATTTATTGTATTTTATGGAACTATTCAATATACCGCGATAACGCAGTATCATTAAGTGTTTTTTGTCTTCTCTGGTTATAACCAAAAGTTTTTTTGTTTTGTTTTCTGATGATGATCGACCAAGGGGAGAAGAATATGTAAACTGAAATTAATCATTTGCATCTTAACATTTTAATTTTATATCTGTTTGTTTTAAAGGATAGGACAGGTGTAATATATAAGTGACATCATATTATATTCAACATAATATGTTGATCAAAGGCTTTTTATATAATGTACATAAATTTTTGAATTTCATAATATTTTCCACAGTAATCTTTTCTATAGCTAATTTATAAATTGAAGATGCGAATTTGTAGCTACGAATTTTCATCAAAATTAAATGATACAAAAATAGGAGGTATCTTCTAGTTGAAAGATCGAAGTATTTTACTAATAATGCATAATTTTTCACAAGTAGAAATATTTTTAAAATATTAGATTTACTGAAAAGCTGTCAATAACATCTAGCATTTTCTAATAATATTTATTGTATACAAAAAAAAAACGAATTAAGCTTCTAAAGCCTAATGATTTTTATTTTATCATTTCTAAATTTATGTATTCTCAATAAAGAATTATCGTCACTTCTTATTTTGGTTAAAAAATGCCTTAAAACAATTGGGGAATAATTAATACATAGAAATATTATTTTCTGCACATTCTCTTATCATAGAAAAGCCTTTTAAAACAATCATATCAGCAATTTGGTCATTTATCAATAATTGCCTTATTTACAGATATAAAAACGGTAAGTGATTTAATCAAATGTATCGTATAGATTTGATTTATCTAATGCTAAATAAAAATGATTCAGAATTGAGAAAAAAGCCTCGATATCTTCTTAGCTTTCAATAAAGCTTATTTCTAGAATAAATATATGAAGATCTTCTTCATTCTTGCAGGACTCCAAATTAGATGTTTCATGAATATGAAAGTTAAATTTTTTATTAAGATTTCGTTTGCATAATTTTAATAGTAATGAAGTTAACCTTTTGCCGAATCTAACTTATATCAGAAGTTTTACGAATATTTATTATTTATTAAAATTCAATTCTTATCTGGTAATTTCTTCAAGAGGAACATTAATGTTGCACGCTGGTTGCATGGCTGATTTTGTTTTATCAATTATCCATCATTTAATCAAATTCTGAATCATACTTCCTTATTATATAACTTCATTCCTCAATCAAAGCTTATCAAATTCAATAGCGCTAATGTTACAATGGTTTATTTTAAAAATGAAAACTTCGGAATTAATTTTTGAAGTTTAAAAATTAGTGCTGTTGAACTTTTTTTGGATTATTTGATATATTTAATATCATATTAGTACATTGATAAAAAATGCGCATTTTAAGAGATAAAATTAGAGAAATATAAAAGATTGATTTTTCTTTTACTGATAGCAATTAGTGAAGTGTTATCACAACGTTAGTCATGAATAGTTGCATAGAGATTAGCTGAAAAAATGATTTTTTGAATCACTAATAAATTCATGAATTTTATCAGCAAACCATCGCGGATACTTTAAATGGAAGTCATGACCACCAAGTGAATGCTTCTCGATTCTGAAATTTCGTATTCAGCGCTAAGATGAGAAAATTTTTACCGTACCATTTTTTCTTATACTCTACCTTAAATTATTAAAAAGATTTTTTGAATTACTTTTTATGGCTGGTAGAAATTAAAACACACAAAATGATACCGCAACTTAAAATAAACAAACCTGCAATTGGCAACTACTGTTTCAAAGTATTTAGGATCGGCGCAAAATCGATCCATACCACCGGTCATAATCATTACAGGAATCTTTAAGTCAGATAGTACATGATCACATGGAAAACGTCCTCCAAGCAAATCATACACTCTAAAAAATTTCAAAAAATTTAGTTGAAATTTTGAGAAGTGACAATATTACTACTATACCTATCTTAGCGTTAGATTACTTTGTATACATTTGTTGTCAACAAATGAAAATCTCAGTAATATGAAAATTTTGAAAAAGGCTAATTTATTCGTTTATATTTCAAAAGAAAAGATTTTCTTGAAAATATATTTGCTTAATAGATGCATTACAATTAAGTTGAAATAAATTTTGTATTGATTTTTTGGAACATTTACTTTGTTACCAAATTAACCTAAATTAATTTAGTCCTAATCTAAGTTCAAATCATTGCTAACTCGTTGCCAAATTAACCTAAATTAATCTCTCTTTGTCCTAATCTAAGTTTAAATCATTGCTAACTCGTTGCCAAATTAACCTAAATTAATCTCTCTTTGTCCTAATCTAAGTTCAAATCATTGCTAACTCGTTGCCAAATTAACCTAAATTAATCTCTCTTAGTCCTAGTCTAAGTTCAAATCGTTGCTAACTCTTGAACGACATCACATAAATCAGCCCATTGCTTTTCAACAAATTCTTTTGGATAATGCTTTAAATATACTTCCAATGCATCTGGCAACCATTGATCAACATTTCGCATACCTGAAGATCAAAAACCCAAAAATTTTTCATTCAATTTAAAATTTGACGAATTTTCAACATATAATTTAAATATTCAAATCTGATAGTACCACTATTAACGCTCTTCATGTTTTCACTTGAAATGAAAAACACTAATTTATTTCAAATTTCCAATGAACAAATTTATACCACGGAAAACGCGTGCTCCACGTTGATCAATACGAGTACCTGTGGCCAATAAAATTGCACCTTTTACGAGTTGTTTTCCTTGTCCAGCAACATGAATTGCCGTTCGAGAACCTTCACTCCATCCAAGTACTATGAAAGGTGTTAGGTTCAATTGCTGAAAGGTCGTAAAATATTTTCAACTTAAGCACGTTTGAATGCAATAGTAAAATTGAATGGTAATTGCAAGAAAGGTAAAATGGATATTTCGAAATGTTTATTTTTAAGAACTTCGATCAGTAACTATTTTTAGAGAATGATACAAGTGATTCAACAAGTTCCGATACCATTTCATATTATGTACATAAATACATTTATATCAATTATGGGAATTTAAGAACTTTTCAATAAAAATAAAATTTATTAGAACTTAAAATCATCGCAATACTTTCTATTGCCTAATCGTTTTTAAGAAAGTCTATTATAATCTTAATTAAATCAAATAATTATCTTAATCCTAATTAAATCAAATAATTGATAATCAATTTCAAAACTCTTTTATATCACTAATGTGATGTAAAATTAACATATTTAAGGGAAGTAAAGGAAGAAATAAAACCTGCATAAGCTTTATACAAAAAGGTGCATCGTTCATACATCGATTTATTTCCTGTTGTCTAAAATTTTTATTTAAAATGAATAAAACAGAATTTAAAGATATTGACAAAATAAATAAGTATAAGTAAATAATTAGGAAAATATATTAATTAGAAGAAACAGATTATTCTGCTGAGATAATTTCATAGCAAATGCTATAATATCAAAATGTTCTTTTGGAGGAAAAATATAAGTTATACCGATCCGGAGGGCGACTTTTACCATAACCAGGTGGATCGATGCAAATTATTGTATAATTATCAGGATTGAAAGACTTTAGCAATTTTTCCGGGAAATCCTTTGCATAGCAACCTATTATTTCAAATAAATAAGCTATGTATTTTTCATAATTTATTAATAAGCAATATCATTAATTTTTCAATATCATTAATTTCATTAATTTCTTAACAACGAATAATAACTTTGTTCTGAAATTCTTTTTACTGTTAAATATTTTAGCCTTAAATTCTTTGATTGCTAAATAAAGTAAAAAAAAAGAAACACTCAGGTAATTAAACTTGAAAAAGCTGTCAGAAACTTAAAAAGAACAGTCACTTTCGAAAAAGTGCTATTAATAAAAGTTAATTTAAAAATGATTAAAAAAAAGAATTGTTTTAAACTTGCCAAGTCCACCACAAATGAATAGCATAATATACTTGCCAGAGCCATATTTACAGTAACCAATTTTATGCCCATTGATTATTGTGATCACTTCGATGATTTCATTATTCCTAATTTCTTCATTCGTCTTATTTAACAACTCTTCATATCCATTTTTTATATCCATTTCTTTTTTGTTTTCGAATACCTAAAATTCCGGTTTTATCATTACAACTCATTTCAAACGTAAACATAAAAAACAATAAACTATGATCGATTTATTTGCTGCACATTACGCATTTAAGATTTTTCCAAATTTCTAATTTTCAATTTTATTTGCTATTTTTTCAACTTATCATAAATGCTTAGAAAAGGATCGAAAAAATATCAATTATTCACAAATCTTATAAGAGTTCAAAATTTACTCTATTTTTAATATCACATCTAATTACTACGAAATTTTTCTCAAATGATAAAATAAATTATCAGTTTCAGGCGTGATTAGTACTGATTCAAGTATATTCAGTATTTTCTTCAATATATTCGAAAGAGGTTTTGCAAAAGGATTTCAACGTGTGTATCGTAAGATCTGATCGAATACACAACATAACATACCTAATTATCACGAATAAATACTATCCTTCCTACTTTTCATTCGTCATTCTCATTATTTTTATAATCATTTCTAAAACAAAACTAAAGAGAGAAATGAGAGAAGAAGCAGTTGTAAAATTCTTCCTTTGATAAATGATCTGTTCACCTATATTATCATTTGGCCTTGTTTCACCTGTTTTTTTTTCCCCCACTTCCCTTTTCCTATGAATTACCGTTTTTTTCCACCCTGATAAGCGGGTTGTATTAGTTCGTGTCAGTGTCAGAAATGTGTTTTTAAAGAACGCAGAGTGCAAATTCTTGAATTGATCCCTTATGAATATGGAAATTGAAGAGGAAAAACTTTGATTCTATTAATAGGAAGGAAAAGAAATGAGGCATTTGTTAAAATCAAACGAACAAATGAAGAGAGGCCTTTCAAATCTTTCAAATCTATAGGGGCCTTTCAAATCTATCAGACAAGAAATGAAACTGTTAAATGAAATACAATAAGGAAGAATCGATAACTGTTTAAGATTTAAGTTAATTTCTAAAATGTATGATAAAAAATTGATAAGCATAGGTTTTATCATTAGTATTTAACAATGAATAAATCAATAAAACTAAAAGTTTAAGACAATACTAACATATATTAAAAATTTATAATTATATTATATTTTTAAAATTTTGCTAAATTCTTAGATATTAATGAAATACAATTTTAAAACAATAAACGAATTGTTTTAAAATTAATTCTTTCCTTAAGAACGATAGGATCACAATATTTCTTACAAACAAAAAAGTATATTTCATTCTATGCTTCCCATCAAGTGAATTGAATTTGAATATAATTGTGATCATTAAATAAATTAAAATGAAATTGTTTGATAATACTTTGATGAAATTTCAATGAGTAACCAGTATTACGGTAAAAGACCGGAATTGATATTAACTGTATTACAATAAAAAGACCAGAATGTATTACGGTGAAAGACCAGAATTAATATCAAAAAATATTAAGTTAACCTAATTTAATTTTGTATAATTTATTTGCAAACATTTGAAATGATCAACGAAGAATTCAGTAAATATCAGAGAAGAACTACAAAAATTTCCTGATCAACGAAGAATTCAGTAAATATCAGAGAAGAACTACAAAAATTTCCTGATCAACGAAGAATTCAGTAAATAATCAAAGAACCATAGAAATTTCTTGTTGGAAAAAGAGAGAGTTGAATTCTTGAAAGAAACATAAAATAATTAATATTTTTCTTCTACTTATTCATAATTATGAAAGTGAAATAAATTATGATTAAGTATTATGATATAAAAATATGCTACCTTGATCAGATCGAATTATTTAATCCAATTACTTATCAGAGAAGACGAAACCTTCTTATTTTAAGAATTGATAAAACGAAGAATTTAGTTGTAACAAAAACCATCTGATCAACTGTTGATTAATTAGCATTAAAAAGAATCAATTATAAATTGAAGAAAAAAAACTGAATTCTAGGTATATTTTACAATAATAACAAATGAAGAAAAAAAAAAGCAAAACAACAATTCAGAGTTAAAACAAAATGAAGAACAAAAAATGTTAGTGACAGCCGAAGGTGACAGTTATTTTATATGAACAACTGAAGTTTACTGGTTTTTTTTCCTGTTAGTTTATCAACATCAAAAAGAATTTATACACTTTTTGATACGATAATAAATATTATCTTTTGTTGAAAAAAAACGAGAAAAACAAAAGTTTGACAAAAATCAATGAAATAAGAAAAAGAGAGTTAAAATAATTGTTTTAACGTTAATTGATGTCATGCTGTGTAATTTAAACTGAATGTTAAATTTTAATTATTTAAGTTAAATCAATTAAATAATTTATCATTACAAAAAAAAAAGAGAGAGAGTTAAAATAATTCATTCAAACATTAACTATTATTATGCTGTGTAATTCAAATTGAATTTTATATTTTAATTATTGAAGTTAAGACAATTAAATAATTTATCATTACAAACAAAAGAAAGTTAAAATAATTGATTTAAACGTTAACTGTTGCAATGTTGTGTAATTCAAACTGAATATTAAATTCAGTTTAATATTTTAATTATTTAAGTTAAGACAATTAAATAATTTATCAATACAAAAAAAAGAGCGAGTTAAAATAATTCATTTAAACATTAACTATTATAATTAATTAATTTAATCATTAACTATTATTAATTTAAATTGAATTTTATATTTTAATTATTTAAGTTAAATTAATTAAATAATTTATCATTACAAACAAAAGGAAGTTAAAATAATTGATTTAAACTGTTGCAATGTTGTGTAATTCAAATTGAATTTTGAATTTTAATTATTTAAGTTAAATTAGTGAAATAATTTATCACCACAAATTATCTTAATTATTTTATTAAATTAAAACATAATTCATTTTTACATTTCATTTGTTTTTCTTACGATCATTTTACGTATTCATTTCTTCACTCACTCATTTATGGATATTAAATTTTCATTTAGAAAAGAAATTGAAAAAGTTCAAATATGTAAAATTGACGCAAAACAATATTTCCATCATAAACCTGGCAAGAATTTTATCAATAACAATAATGATAAATTATTAATAATAGCAGTAATAATGATAATTATTAATAATAATAATGATAATAAACTAAATAGAGATTAAAATAAATTCAGATCAAATATATATAATTCTCGAAGAAAATGATACAAAAAATTTTTAAATGCCAATATTCTACTCCTAACTTATATGCTATTCAAATTTTATGTTTTATTTTAAGAAGAAGAAGAACATAGCAATTTCATTTTCCAATGCAACAATTATTATCATTCTGTTTTCATTATCTGATAATTATTACTCAAATTTTCCTCTCTTATCAGTCATACCAAATCTTGTTCATTGCTCATTGATAATAGTTGCTAAATTTTATCAATAGTTTTATTGCTTAAAGTTGATGAATGCTAAAAATATTAAAGATCTCTCTTTTTTCTTTTAGCAAAATTGACAGCTTATCAAACTAAAATATTGGAAACAACGCAGTTGTCAACAATATGCAAAAAAAAACATTACGCATAATGGTTATTGAACATCAATGAATTGATTAGATATTATCTTTCATGTTATCCGAACCGGAATAGAGATGAAGAGACAAAGAATGTACGGAATTTAAAATAATTTATTCATCCGTTCAATTGCATCTATTAAAGCTGGCACTATAATTAAACGTTCTCATTATGAAAAGAAAATTTTCAAAATCTTCTAATTAAACAAATTATAATAGATTGAGATGATAATAATATGAGAATGGATTACTTTCAGTGATAAATAAATTAATAAAATTATATTTGATAATTTAGCATTTTTTTTAACGGAACAGTTTGATTGCAACAACGATTAAATCTAAATGGTGTCAATATTTTATTAATTAAAAATAATTAATTTTTCTATGTAAAGCGAGCGATTCATCCATTTTTGTATGATTGCGATACGTTAAAAAAAAGACTGAATTATTTTGTTTAATGAATGAAAAAAAGATATAAGAGAGAATAAGAGGGTAAGAAAGTTTAGATATGATCAAAGAAGGCTGTCAATAATAATCTAAAAATTTTTTATAGCATTTGAATGTTCAATAACGAATCCAGTAGTTAAGAATCATTTGCATAGTTTATTGTAATTTGAATTGATACTTGAAAATATCAAATTCCGTCCTTTTTCCTTCTAAATTGAAAGTATAAAATGAAAGTAAAAATAATTCGAAAATTTAAATGATGACAAATATTTGCTACAATAATGAGAAATTTCATTTCATTAGGAAAAGGTAATTATTATCTAATCATACCTTTTCTTAGAAAAGGTAATTATTGTCTAATCATACCTTTTCTATTTTCATTGTTTTTTACCTGATCGTTCTGATCGTTCATAAAATGTATTAAAACAAAGAATTTAAAATTTTAAAATATTAAAGAAAAAGGATGAAAAGAAAATTGAGAAGAAAGGATGTAATTTGTGAAAAGAAATTTAAAAAAAATATCAAATCGTAGAAGGTCATATTATCTTTTCCTTAAATCAATGATAATCAATGATACGAAGGTCATATTATCTTTTCCTTAAATCAATGATAATCAATGATAATAAGTACAAATAATCCAAAAAATATTGCATCATTTTGGATGCCATCTGCATGATTATACCACAGGATGTGTCAATAAAGATGTATACGTATATCATTTGATCGTAATTTTGCTCATATCAAAAAATAGCTCAGCGAAATTTCAAAACGAAATATAACAAGTTTTTATTTGAATTTTTCTAAATTTTAAAATTCCATTAAATTTTGAAATTTTTACAAAAGGATTCGTCTGTACATAAGCAAACGCTAATCATCTATTAATATATTTTTTAACTGAAATAAATATTATTTTGTATATTTAATATTCAACTTCTTTAAACTATACACTGATAACATGCATAATAGTAATGTATTAATGCATTAATTGATATGTTATCAGTAAACGACACATTAACAATTAATGGTAAGCTTGAATTTATACGAAATGCAACATATCAT